TTCAACGGCCAAGTCACACAACATTAACTATAATAATAAAGAAATCGCAGTAAAGAACCATAGACTTGGCACGACTTTGTCTAGATTTCATTACTTTTTAGAGATAAACAAGCAGCTTCATCGAGACTTGGCTAGTTTTTTACAGAATGTTTTTGGTGGGTAAACAACTTTCGTCTTCTATAGTCTGGTCTGTGAGCACGTAGAATGTTGTCCAATGACCCCAAGCTACCCAACCTTATCGCTCGCGCGTAATTATGTTGCTGTCGCGCTCGCACACTCACTGCTGCCGCCCGTCGCACAGTCGCGACAGCAATATAATTACGCGCGAGCGATAAGGATAGATAGGTAGCTTGGGGTCATTGGACAAAATTCTACGTGCTCAGCGACCAGACTATAGCATGAACAACTTTCGTCTTCAAATCGTTTGCGTATTCGACAAAATTCGATACTCAACCTTCGAATTGAACGATAACGTGACAATTTTGATTCTCCAAATAAGTTTCGTGCAACCATTTTGAGAAATGGTTGCACGAAACTTATTTGGAGAATCAAACTAACTACTAAGTTCACTTTACGACACGTTCACAAGGGCGCTGTAAGCTGTTGTAGTTTTCGTACTAAATTTTTTGATGGTGATTCGAATACGCAAACGATCGAACTCGAGGGTTTTTCGTGCTACCCGTACTGATAAGTTCCGGAGTTACCAGAGCGCTTAGTGTGAGTTTACATCAAACGTCGTCACTAGCGAGCGCGTTAAAAAAATATATGAAGATTTTAGTTCTTGAAAGTTTCCGCTAGGGGCGCTGTACAATCCGTCATACATTTAATGTCACTTTTATACGCAGTCGACATCGAATTACATGAGGTGATTTTGACCATTTTTAGGCCTCCTCTCCCTCCTTGGTGAGATATCGTGAAATTTAATTCGACCCCTCCCCCTCCCTCTAATCTCACGTGAGATTGTTCATAGTCATATTCTGCCCATGCTCAATTCAACCTATTATTCTCGCAATTTTACGCTGTTTCTTGCGCAAAAATTTAATTACGTGATATTTAACAGGACCCTCTTTCCTCATGTAAGATTTGGCGAGAATTTACTTGATTTTTCTTACCATATTCTAAAATGTTTGTACAATTTTGTTTTTGTTATTTTTGAAGGATCCCGTGGAAACTGAGCCTGGCGTGCTAGCAACCCTCCAACGTAAAGAAGCCCAAGAGAAGGTGCTCACAGAAAAATGGACGGAGAAATGGCGGGAGACGCAGCAGATCCTGCAAGAACAGAAGGCATTGGGTCTCAGGAAGAGTGGACTTGGCGTCGTGCTGGATTCAGATATGCCGCATCTCGTGGGCATTGATGATAACCTGCTGTCTACTGGCGTCACGCTGTACCATCTGAAGGTTAGTGTGAAATGAGGCAGATATTAGATCCTGCAGGAACAGAAGGCATTGGGTCTCAGGAAGAGTGGACTGGGCGTCGCGCTGAATTCAGATATGCCGCATCTCGTGGGCATTGATGACAACCTGCTGTCCACTGGCGTCACGCTATACCATCTGAAGGTTAGTGTGAAATGACAGGAACAGAAGGCGCTAGGTCTCAACAGTGGACTAGTCATGTTGTACTCAGATATGCCGCACTTGGTGGGCATTGATGACAACCTGCTGTCTACTGGCGTCACGCTGTACCATCTGAAGGTTAGTGTGAGATGAGGCAGATATTAGATCCTACAGGAACAGACTGCAAAAGCCCGGTCGCCGAGCATGTAGAATTTCGTCCAATGCACTGCAGCCGCCCGTCGCACAGTCTCGACAGCAATATAATTAGGTAATGCGAGTGATAAGGATGCGTAGTTTGGGGTCATTGGACGAAATTCTACGTGCTCGGCGACCGGACTATGGTAATAGTTAATAACTGAAGGGTAGGGTGAGAGAAGCGCGCAGCGTGAGTTAAATTTTTTTTTATCCACAACGAAGAAGCTCTTGGCCTGTATCTCACCTTTGTCGTCGTTTTTAGCAAGTAACCGCCACCGGTGGCTTATTGAGTCGTGAGAGGATGCCGCTCGCTACACTTGTGCGGCGATTCCATACAAAACGTTCTAAAATCATGTAAATACCTTGCTGCCTGCCAATGGCTGTATTCGGCGGCCCGTTAGTGCTCAGTCTAAGCGTCACTGTCTACGGCGGCATAGCGTGCTCTAAACGCGTAGCCGTCCGTGAACAGTAGCACTAACATAGATTGCAATGATGAATTGATTTTGACTATATTTTTATTGCATCCCAGGAGGGTGAGACGGTAATAGGCACGGCTGACTACAAGCCGACCCCAGACATCGTGCTGAGCGGCGCGGGCGTGCTGCCGCTACACGCGCGCGTGACGCTGGCGCACGGCACCGCCACGCTGCAGCCCGCGCCCGCCGCGCAGTGCTGGCTCAACACCGTGCTCATCGACAAGCCCGCCAAGCTCAGCCAAGGTCGGAACATTCTTTCCCCGCAGTAGGCCAAGACCCTAATAGGCACCGCCAGCTTCAAGCCGCACTGTGGTGGCTCAGCCAAGATCAGGAGCTCAGGCGAGGTTGAATTTGGAACATTTTTGGTCCTTCGTTGTAGGGGCATAGAATAATAATAGGTACTACGTACAGAAGATTTTCTACGCGAAGGTATTTAAAAAAATGTATGCTCAATGTCGTTAACAATATGGTGTAATTTAGTTTGTCTCAAGAGTCGAGCACCATTTTGTTGACAAACGTCAGTGATCGGTAATGCGCCGAAGCCATAGGGCTGACTTCGGTAAAATGATGTGTGCCAAACTGCGGAAAATGGCGGCGGAAATACATGGATAAGCATGAATTATATTTTGTGTTTCTATTATTATTCCGGCAGTTAACAAATTATGCACAGTATTAATTAAACCACACCGTTTTTACATGTTTTTTCTCGTTTTTACAATGCAAATGGGTGATGAATACACGTGCGTGCGTCAATACTCGCTCGTGATTGTCCTGTCGATTAGGTACCTCAGAAGGGGTAGTCGCTCGTGTTTTGTTTTCGATGCAAACTCGCGGAGATGAACAGGCCTGGTAGGGGGTGAGACGGTAATCGGCACAGCAGACTACAAGCCAACCCCAGACATCGTGCTCAGCGGCGCGGGCGTGCTGCCGCTACACGCGCGCGTGACGCTGGCGCACGGCACCGCCACGCTGCAGCCCGCGCCCGCCGCGCAGTGCTGGCTCAACACCGTGCTCATCGACAAGCCCGCCAAGCTCAGCCAAGGTCGGTAGCTCGGGCGAGATTGAATTTGGAACATTTTTGGTCCTTCATCGTACGGCTGAATACAAGCCAACTCCAGATATCGTGCTGAGCAGCGTGAGCGTACTACCGCCGCTTCACTCCATTTGGGCAAGACCCTAATAGGCTCCGCTGTCTTCAAGCCGCACTGTGGCGGCTCAACACCGTGCTCATCGACAAGCCCGCCAAGCTCAGCCAAGGTCGGAACATTCTTTCCCCGCAGTAGGCCAAGACCCTGATAGGCACCGCACTTCAAGCCGCACTGTGCTGGCTCAACACCGTGCTCATCGACAAGCCCGCCAAGCTCAGCCAAGGTTGAATTTTATGACGCATTCTTTTGACCAAAAGACCTCTACAGATAGACAAAAGATACCCACTATAACTATGCTAAAATTCCGGTGCTTTCCATGACCTTCAAGAGAGGCCTGCAGACCTTCACTATGCTATCCTATTGTCACTTAAGAACCATTTAGCGTGCTATATCGGTTACTTTAGTTCTTCTATGGATCTCCCAATCTGATTTAACAACGCATGGGAACCTCGAGCATGTTACATGCTTCATTTCCCTTTAAGTATAATTTTCTCAGAGTTTGTTGTAAAAATTACTGTTTCTATACAGGCTGCATCTTACTCCTGGGCCGCACGAACATGTTCCGCTACAACGACCCGGCGGAGGCGGCCAAGCTGCGGCAGGAGGGCAACTCGTCCGCCATGAGCCTCTCGCGCCTCTCGCTGCTGTCCTGGTCCGCCACCGACCTGGCCGCCAGTTCCGAGACCCTCAACGCCACGCTCTCGTAAGTACTTGACCCACCACCACCCATGGTTCTTCCTGCCTCACGGCGTACGAACCGAATCTCGGGAGAGCGCGCGGGTACTTGCTCTGGGCTCTTTTCCCCGGGCGCTTTGCTTGACTCCCTACAAATTTCTCTGATCCATGTCCCTTCTCATGGTCAATTCTCCACCTTCTGGGGCTTGACACCACAAATACGGTACTTCGCGTCGGGCTGCTATCCCAACTATCCCAACTAATATTATAAATGCGAAAGTAACTCTGTCTGTCTGTCTGTNCGCGGGCGGAAAGCTAGTCGTTGATAAATGTCATCACTTCTTCTCATAACTTCGCCTGATTGTGTGCCAGGAGTGCGCTCTCACGCAGCGCGATCCAGTTACTGCGACTACTCGTGAGGTCCTTGTGATAAACAGGTCCTTGCTCGTCTTTCCGTATCGCATCCAGCATCTTCTGGTAAGTACTGTCGCAGCTCGTCCGCCATGAGCCTCGCGCCTCTCGCTGCTGTCCTGGTCCGCCACCGACCTGGCCGCCAGTTCCGAGACCCTCAACGCCACGCTTTCGTAAGTAATTAGGAATACAGGGCATCCAGTGCCAGGCTTTTTCGAATAGAGTAGACATCGGCGTAAGGAATTTCTATAATTTTGCATTTTTTAGATGAAAAGAGCCACTTGATTTGACCATTTAGATAGGTCCCCCAACAAATTATACAGGACCTGTCTAAAGGATGCTACGTCACTGTTCCTGCCTTTATTTTACCGGGTCACAGGAATCATAGCGTGCTATTAAATCTATTGCTGGAACGAGTCAGCAATTAAGGGGTATATCGACATTGCGAGGCAGCTTTTCTCAATGAGGGCTATCGTTTTTATACTTAACAGTTGGCACCCCTGGCGATTGACAGGACCTTACTCTACAGTGGCGCCATCTTGATGAGTGGAAATGCGATAGTCCTCCTACCAATTTAGCGCTCACCAGTTGGTGCCACTGTCTTCGCTACTAGCAAGTGACAGGACCTTACTCTACAGTGGCGCTAACTGGTGAGCGCTAAAACGATAGCCCTCATTGATGTACCGCGAGTGTGCAGCAATACACGGCTTAAGGGCGATTCTTCTCTTATTTTCGTGACTAACAAGCTTTATTCTCCGCAGGGAGATAGAATCGGAGGCGCGCAACGAGCGCATGGAGGCGCAGCGCGCGGAGCTGGAGCGCGAGCGGCAGCAGTTCCTGCAGCAGCAGCTGGAGCGCCAGCGCCGCTGGCACGCCGAGCGCGAGCAGCTGCTGCAGCAGCAGAAGCAGCTGGACGAGGTCAGCAGTACTCGAGGCAGGAGACAGGCGGAGGAGCTGGGGCGCGAGCGGCAGCAGTTCCTGCAGCAGCAGCTGGAGCGCCAGCGCCGCTGGCACGCCGAGCGCGAGCAGCTGCTGCAGCAGCAGAAGCAGCTGGACGAGGTCAGCAGTACTCGAGGCAGGAGACAGGCGGAGGAGCTGGGGCGCGAGCGGCAGCAGTTCCTGCAGCAGCAGCTGGAGCGCCAGCGCCGCTGGCACGCCGAGCGCGAGCAGCTGCTGCAGCAGCAGAAGCAGCTGGACGAGGTCAGCAGTACTCGAGGCAGGAGACAGGCGGAGGAGCTGGGGCGCGAGCGGCAGCAGTTCCTGCAGCAGCAGCTGGAGCGCCAGCGCCGCTGGCACGCCGAGCGCGAGCAGCTGCTGCAGCAGCAGAAGCAGCTGGACGAGGTCAGCAGTACTCGAGGCAGGAGACAGGCGGAGGAGCTGGGGCGCGAGCGGCAGCAGTTCCTGCAGCAGCAGCTGGAGCGCCAGCGCCGCTGGCACGCCGAGCGCGAGCAGCTGCTGCAGCAGCAGAAGCAGCTGGACGAGGTCAGCAGTACTCGAGGCAGGAGACAGGCGGAGGAGCTGGGGCGCGAGCGGCAGCAGTTCCTGCAGCAGCAGCTGGAGCGCCAGCGCCGCTGGCACGCCGAGCGCGAGCAGCTGCTGCAGCAGCAGAAGCAGCTGGACGAGGTCAGCAGTACTCGAGGCAGGAGACAGGCGGAGGAGCTGGGGCGCGAGCGGCAGCAGTTCCTGCAGCAGCAGCTGGAGCGCCAGCGCCGCTGGCACGCCGAGCGCGAGCAGCTGCTGCAGCAGCAGAAGCAGCTGGACGAGGTCAGCAGTACTCGAGGCAGGAGACAGGCGGAGGAGCTGGGGCGCGAGCGGCAGCAGTTCCTGCAGCAGCAGCTGGAGCGCCAGCGCCGCTGGCACGCCGAGCGCGAGCAGCTGCTGCAGCAGCAGAAGCAGCTGGACGAGGTCAGCAGTACTCGAGGCAGGAGATAGACGCGGAGGCGAGCAACGAGCGCATGGAGCAGCAGGAGTGTGGACTTTTTACTGTCTCTCTGCTATTTCCTTCTCCGTTCTTTCGTTATTGACAGAGCGATCATGGTCACGACACGACTAGGCCACGTAAGGCGGGTCCAGACGTGGACGGGTAATATTACCCGTCCACATATGCGACCATGATACGCGTCGATGATACGGATACGGTGATCGGATCGGGCATATGATACATGTCTGGACCCGCCTTTAAGCTTCGGTGTCGCGATTGCAATGCACAACATTGCAGTATGCGGTGACGGACACATAATCGTATGAAAAACGTCTATAGAATGGTATCTTGCTCCGTCGCAATATGCGTCAGCCCCATAACGCAGCGTCGTGTGTTGCGATCGTGAGACCGAAGCTTAAAAGTGATCACAGCTCTGCACGATCAATAGCGTCTCTTATGTCTTTTTGGAGCAAGACTTACGCAGTTTCCCACTGAGGATTTTACTTCAATAGGTGACCTGCTGGGCGATCATCATCATTTCAGCCATAGGACGTCCACTGCTGAACATAGGCCTTCCCCAATGCTTTCCACGTTGATCGATTGGTAGCGGCCTGTGTCCAGCGCTTCCCTGCTGCTACCTTTACGATGTCGTCGGTCCACCTTGTAGGTGGACGTCCGTCCCACGCTGCGTTTTCCGGTACGCAGCCTCCATTCCAGAACCTTGTTGCCCCATCGGCCGTCAGTTCTGCGTACTATGTGCCCTGCCCATTGCCACTTCAGCTTGCTAATCCGTCTGGCTATGTCAGCGACTTTAGTTCGTTTACGGATTTCCTCATTTCTGATTCGATCTCGCAAAGAAACACCAAGCATAGCCCTCTCCATAGCACGCTGTGCAACTTTGAGCTTCTTTGCTGGGCGATGTAATTCCGTATTTTTTTCCCTAAACCTCTTCTTTTCTTCTGACTGTATGTATTTACACAACACGATAACAACACAGCCAGAGCCCTAGGTGCTAGAGTTGTCAGTCGTTACAATTTTCATGTGCTAATGTAATGTGGGCTATCGTTTTTATACTTAACAGTTGGCACCCCTGGCGATTGACAGGATCTTACTCTACAGTGGCGCCATCTTGATGAGTGCAAATGCGATAGTCCTCCTACCACTTTAGCGCTCACCAGTTGGTGCCACTGTCTTCGCTACTAGCAAGTGACAGGACCTTACTCTACAGTGGCGCTAACTGGTGAGCGCTAAAACGATAGCCCTCATTTCGCTAGTTCTACTAATTGATAAGCACGCATATCCTGTTTTACACAGGAGCGCGTAGCAATGGAGCGCGAGTATGCAGCGGCGTGCCGACGGTTGTCCGGCGACTGGCGCGCGCTAGAGCGCGGCTGGACGCACCGCCGGCGCGCGCTTCGCTGCCGACAGCGGGAGTTGCGCGCGCGCACGCAGCGGCTGAAAGCGCTCGCTGATACGCTGCAGGCGCAGGTAAGCGATAGGACAGTCTACGCCCGCTGTGTAAGGGTTGCTACATAATCAACATAAGCGGGTTGGCACTGATAAGTGCAACCGGCGGTAAAAACTAATAATGTAGTGAATGTTCGGGAAAAATGCTGCTCGATTTTGACAAGCGCCAGGTAACAAGGGAACGGCATTATACTGCACAATAGGGCGGTAAAATCAATCTGTTGTGCAACAAATACTTCCGACGTGCCGGTCCTCTTATGTGTTTCTAGCAATCCTAACGTGACTCAGTCGTCATTTTCGCTATTACGATTATAACTGGACACTGCGTATGTCGTGGCTAAGCGTCATAATTGCGCCAGGTGTTGACGTGCATGCGATGAAGACACGCCGGCGTGAAGAGTTGACGACTACCGTTTATTAGCGAATGAAGTGCTTGTTATTATTAAATACGCGTAAAAAAACTTAGTACTTCCACCCGTAGCTTCGTAGATTCCAAGTGCATATAAGCTCGTATACGTGTACCGCTCAATAATCTCCTGAATAAATAAAAGTTGAGAAATACTAAAGTTATGCCGTACTAAATATTGTGTAATTTTCTGTGTAATAGTGCTTATTGCGAGCTTATAAGCGCTGTACACAGGTACGTTATGTACGATATTAACGCACCGTTTCAGCGTGCTACTACGATTACGTCTATTTCTTATTTTTTGTATGCATGTGTACATAGTACATATGTTTTTATACATAGATATTGTTGCATGCATTTCTATAGAACTTCGCTTTCTCTATGTCCCTTGGAAATATTCTAGACTTCGACTAGAAGTAGTGCTAGTTTTATTTAAAGTTTCTTTAAAAGACACCAAAATTCACTCTGGTTAATCAGTAATTAAATAACTTATTATAAATGCATGATTTCTAATTTTGTCTTCATATACTTCGGTAGAAGAAAGGTCAGTTATATTAAAAATAATCACCTGTCACTTCCCGTTATCTCTTCGTATTAATATAAACGATGTGACAAGGCATGTAATTATTATGATAAACGCGTCTCGTGTCACAGCCTCCGTCAATGATCCAGTTATTAGCTCTTGCGTAATCTATAGCGCAATGTCGTTGCACTACTTAGCATTTTGTCGCACTACTGGTTCTCGATCGGAACTCGAACTAAGAAATTTCAATAATAGGCACGAAGCCACGATAGCTGAACGCTGAAGGGGTCAGATTGTCTGATTCGACATCCGAGAAACGCGGGTTATAACCGTTTCTCGGATGTCGAGTCCGGTTATAACCCCGCCGCCGCTCGACTATTGTGGACTGTGGTGAGCCCACTCGTGATACAAGCATATTTATTTTAGTACGAGAGGCTAACGGGACTATTTGTAATTTGTGTAATACAATTATCTACATATAAAAAAATTGCTTTAAGTAAAGAAAAGTAGAAAAGAAATGCATATTTATTTAAGATACGAACCAAAGTCCTAACGATTACTTCGTAGATACTGTTTGTTTTTTTTATCATCTCAATTTAATGGATTATTTGTTTTAATTAATGTTTGTTATAAGAATTGATTAGGTATCATCCTTTTCACGAGCATAGAAAACTACTCGCGATATCGGATTATTGTAATCGACTTCGAGAACGGTGGTAGGGTCCGATGCACTCACTTTTAGAGTTGTTATTGTTTTGTGCATTTTTCTCACACGCACTAGTTTTGTTCGCGGCCCAATCGTGCGCAGACGACTGTGGCGTCCTAGACAGCTGTTTCAATTTTTGGTTTTATGGAGTTCTGAATTTTTGTGAGTTTTTAAAACTGTGCATAATTTATTTCGAATTTTGTACCTATTTATAAAAATAGAATTTTGTACCTAATTATATTGCCTTAAATGTGTGAACAATAGCATTGTGGAATATGAGGCAATAAACTCAGTGTTGTCATAATTTTACACAAGAACAATTTGTCATGAACGAATCATGCATGCCTAAATTATTCGGCTAAAGTTTCAATTAATTCTTGTTGATTAATGTGAAAGTGTCGAAGAATATAAACATGAAAAAACCTATTTACACTTATTTCTCTAAAAAGTAATTTGATTTCGTGATAAAATTTCTTTTTGTCGAATTGAAGTGTGTCAATGCACAACAATTTACACTTTCTCGTACACATTAACACTGTACACTCTAATTATAAAACACGTTATCATATTGGAACATTTATGTTTGCACAAATGAAGAAAGCAATCATGCGATATGATTTATAACTCACAGGCACCGTGCTTATAAAGAAAGCAGGGACAGTCGTGGGTATCACGTTAGACCAATTACGAAGTGAAGTTTAAACGGAAACGTATAGAACGTGTTTTTTGAAGAATTGCATTGGAACGAAACAGTCGAAATTAAAATTTAGTAGTGTGAAGACACTCGTACATCAATTGCGCAGTATTTTTATTGGTAATTAATTATTACATATAAAAATTAAAGATCCATAACAATACTTAAGAATGTAATTTATTTTTCTTGAATATTCAAGAGAAAGACATTTCAAGAATATCACAGTTAAAATTAAATTTGAAATTCAGAGCTCCAACGCGTTATTTTATGTTGCCAACATTACACGTAGGCGGAGAGCGAAGAGGCGCGAGCGGGCGAACTGCGGACACAAGCGGACCGGAAGAGGACCGAGCTGGAGGAATACGCCGCGAGGACCATTGAGGACCTGAGGACTAAGGGGATCAAGGTAAGATGGAGCTACTTGGAGATCTGAGACTGAGACTTAGGCTAAGAACTCATGGCGCGATTTTCACCCGCGCCCGCGGCGGTTGCGGGCCCGCAGCTTCTGTAGAATGCAGATAAGTACTTATGTAAAAACCAATGCACAACTTGCGACGCGGTTTTCGCCCGCAGCGGGCGCGTTTGTAATCGGGTCCTTCGCGTGGGCGTGAAAACTGAAAACCGCCCGATCGGCGGGCGACCATTTTGTACCAGTGACTTAGCACGCGGCGCGATTTTAAATCGCGCCGTGAGTTCTTAGAATAACTGCGAAAATAACCGATCCCGTGGGTTTTGAAATAAAACCGCAATTCCACAACCGCCGCGGGTGCAGGTGAAAATCGCGCCGTGAGTTCTTAGCCTTGTGTTCCAAACCAATCAAAAAGAAAGTGCTAAGAATCCCCTTGATTCTGTTTCCATGTTCATGGATAGAAAAAAGTATAGTTAACAATACTTTCGAAATTTTATAATTATTGTGGCACATTCGACAGCATAATAAGCTAAATATTTGCTCAGCAAAAGTAGCTTTTATTTCGCATACAATAAAGCTTGTTGTGCTATCGTCTCGTGGGTATAGATGACCCACGCTGAACTGTCCCACCAAACTCAATGACAGGGGGGCGCTACCATCGTTCAACTATATGGTTTCCAACATGGCAAAAATCGAAACCAGCGATCCGGTATTGACGGTGGCGCCCCACTGTCAATGTCATGCATAGGACAGTTCAGTATTTTGGAACTATAAATAGGTTTCAAACTGACGTATGCGTGTCGTAAATTCAATCGTTCTAATTTACCGATCTCCAAGTGTCTCGTTCATTTGTTTTTTTTAGTAATTAATGCACGTCTAGCTTTTTCTAATTTATACTGCACGTCTACAATTTGATTTCGCTTGGATTTAGAAATTATGAGCGAATGATTTATCGCCGTACTATAAGCACTGAGTTGTGTGGCATACGTATGCGGCGCTATGTCGCAGCGTACAACCAGAGTAAATACAAATGAGTAGGTCATCTTCATAGAAACGTCCGAGCGCGGTTTGTATGTGAGCGCGCCAATACGTATGCGGCGCGCACGCACACACTGACAAAATTTAGAGTTGCTTAGCGGTGAGTTGCCCCGAATTTTGGGTACAACACGCGTTAGGCCCGGATTCCACCAAGACGGAGCAGAGCGGAGCGCAGAAGTGTTTTGAATAACCAATCAGATTTCATAATTTCCACTTCTACTCGCCACTCCGCACAGCTCCGGTATACGCCGCGCCGCCGCCGCTCTCAATTTCCATAGAAAAATTTGATAACCCGTCATTTCTCCGCTCCGCTTCACCTTGGTGGAAACCGGGCCTTATGTTTGGCGAAGTCTTTTTTTTTCTCTTTATTTGGGACAACAAACAGTTACATTGAGGGCTTATGTACTAAATCTTAATAATTTGAAAGTAACAATGCAACCAGTACCATTGTCCACAGATAGGATCCTGTTGTTGATGTCTTTAGCCCCGTTGTCTATAGTCAGCGTTTAGCAGCTCTCTTTCTATCGTGGAGATGTTTCACAGAGCACGTCGCCGTCAAGCGGCACGAGCCCCGATTGCCTGCTGCAGCTGCTGCAGCAGTGTGAGCCCGCGGCCGCGCGCGCCATACAGACCACCGTCGACCGACACGTCAGTATACTAAGTTATTATATTAACCTAGCTCAGGCTACAAAAGACTACGAACTGTATATGTAAACTCTAGCATAATAAGTTCTTATAATGCTCTTATTTTAATGAATAAACTATTTATTTACTTTATTTACTAATTATACGCTACTAGGACCATAGACTGACCTCTATACACACTTTTGACAGGCTGTCTCATACAAATGACAGCTAATTTTGCTAATTTGAAGCGCCACTACGACTGTCCCGAGAACTAATTTTGACGTACATTGTATAGAGTAACCATAGGAGTAAGCGAGAAAGAAAATCACTAATTTTAGTTCCATGGACAATCGTATCTGCCTACAGTATGACCTACAGCGCCAAAATGGTGAAACTCAAATAGGCACAAAAATATTGACAGCAGCCAGTCCAGTGTGTATATGTCACCATAAATTGAGAATTCCGTCAGATTATAATCTGACGTAGTTAAATTACAATCTAACCTAACCTAACCCACTGTTAGTTTACAATCTAACGCGTTATATTATAAATTAACACTATAAACATGTATTTTTTTCTGTTTTTCTCCCTGTTAATTGTGTATGTCTTGTTAGCTGTCCTTAAATAAATAAATAAATAAACAGAGTTCACAATTTCACGTTGACATATACATATCAGTGGGACCATAACAGACATGCCACTTGTAGTATCAACGATCGGCGATTTTGCGACTGTAAGAATGCAGCATCGCGACTTCACGCGTTCGACCACGGTATCGGCATCGCGCGTTTTAGCTACTGCTATCGCTGCGTCAAGCTTCCAAAAAGCGACTCCAATCACCGCGTTTGGCGTTTTTAAAGTATTTTTTCCCCCTCATGTTTTCGACTACCCTGAAATTGTATTTACCTAACATTTCCGTTTAATTACAGAAAAAAGAGCTAGAAGAGTTAGAAGAGGAGCTGGAGTGCCGCGCGTCATCAGTAGCATCGCACCGAGTCAAGGTGGAGCGTCTGCAAGCTGAACTGCGCCTACTGCACACTCAACAGCTGGGCCTGCGCCAGGCGCTCGCCGCCGACCTCAGCCCGCCACCAGCGCCCAGCGGTAAGTCAAGAACTAAAATAAAACTGGTTTTAGAATCGCACTGACACGCTGACCATCGGCGTATGTATGAAACGTCAGCGCCGAGCGATCAGCGTCACTCAGGAACATTTCCTTTAATGAGGGTTTTCGCGAATGAAAAATCCGCTAGATGGTAGACGCGAGGTCCAAATGCTGCATGATTGGTTATTTTTGACATGAAATTGACAGATATGTCAAAATCCACCAATCATGCAGCAGTCAGACCCCACATCCACGTCTCTCAAAACCCTCATTACATCCATATTGATCTGTCAGCGGGTGATTCTAAAACCCGCCTCAAAGTCACGCGGGCGTACGCACTCATGTCTGTATCGAAAAATAGTGTGGCGTGAACGCGTGCGATGGCTTTCCACATGCTCAGTTGGGGGCAAGCGCATGTTGTGAGCGTGGTGACACGCAGCGGGTGCCCGTGCAAGTTTTAGAATACAGTCTCACACTCTAGCAGTAGCACTGAGTCAAGGTGGAGCGACTCCAAGCTGAACTGCGCCTACTGCACACTCAACAGCTGGGCCTGCGCCAGGCGCTCGCCGCCGACCTCAGCCCGCCGCCCGCGCCCAGCGGTAAGTCAAGAACTACGCTAAAACTTGCGCGGGCGCATACACGCGTGTCTTTATCGACAAATAGTGCAGTGTGACGTGGATGTGTGAGATGGGTTTCGCACGTAATTATGTTGCTGTCGCGCTCGCACACTCACTGCGGGCGCGCGTCGCACAGTCGCGACAGCAATAAAATTACGCGCGAGCGATAAGGATGGGTAGCTTGGGGTCATTGGACGGGATTCTACGTGCTCACGGACCAGGCTTTACAGCGGACGCACGTGGCGGGTGCCCGCCTCGGATTGTAGCACCGCGCCTGTTGTCTGGAGCTTCAGCGTTCAGCCTCACACTCTAGCAGTAGCACTGAGTCAAGGTCAAGGTGGAGCATCTGCAAGCCGAGCTGCGCTTACTATAAAGCCTGGTCCGTGAGCACGTAGAATTTTGTCCAATGACCCCAAGCAATATAATTACGCGCGAGCGATAAGGATGGGTAGCTTGGGGTCATTGGACAAAATTCTACGTGCTCACGGACCAGGCTTTACACACGCAGCAGCTGGGCCTGCGCCAGGCGCTCGCCGCAGACCTCAGCCCGCCGCCCGCGCCCAGCGGTAAGTCAAAAACTAAAATAAGTCTGGTTTTGGTATCGCGCTGATCATCGGCGTATGTATGAAACATCAACGTCGAGCGATCACACTATCAACAACATACATCATATTGATCTGTCAGCGGCCAACGCCAAAAATCAGCGAGCGGCCAACGCCGCCGACCGCCGACCTCAGCCCGCCGCCCGCGCCCAGCGGTAAGTCATATGTTGCCCCAAAGTGGTGGTAGGGCAAGCTATATTTGGGACGTGTGTAAGTGCCCTGGAAAGCGCTTTTGTACTGAGTAACCTATTTATCGTATCTTATCTTTATCAAGATTGGGCGGTTGGCGTCAAACCCGAGTGGAGGTGGCTCATTTTACTCTGCTGGACAGAGGACGAGTACAGCTCGGCAAAAGGATTTATTTTTCATAATGACTGATCCTATGCTGCCCGCATCCAGGTGCTTCCCGCGATCTTCACCAGATCCGTGGTCGCCACTCAATTTTTCTACCCCAACAGCCACCAGTTATGTATCCCACCCACTGTCACGGTTCGTCAATTCTGCGACCTATGTCAATTCTTTTGGTTCTCCTACGAGTCTCCTCATTTCTGATTCGAACGTAGGGAAACTGAGCATATCACGCTCCATCGCCCTTTCATGTTCATGTCAGGCCAAAACCATCAAATTCCATATCACACATTCTGAGAATCTTTCGTTTTAACCTCACAGAAGGAGAGCTGTCGCCGCTAGAGGGTGTAAAACGCAGTAAATCCGAACTGGTGCTGCGACGAACGCCGCGGGAAGAAGTACTAGAGCCGCTGTCTGCTGACGAGCGCGAGGAGTTTAGAAACAAGAAGATGAGGTAAGATTAGTACTTTAATTTGGAGCAAGTATTTTGTGCAATGTGGTGCAATTTTTACTATCACTAAAATAGATTAGCAGTTTTAATTTCGCTTGCTTTTAAAGTCATTGAGTCATTCACAGTTAAATACGAGTGATTTATTTCGATATATTTTACTTGTTTAAGAAACTGTCGTTCATTATACGCGCTAATTTCGGAATTGTTCCAAAATTATTTGCGGAACTTGTATAAGAAGTCGTTTCTACAAATAATGAAACTTTGAAAAACATTTGTACATAACTTGACACATGTCTGTGACCGAAAACAGAGTCAACAAGTACACTAGTAATAATTTTTCATGAAGAGTTAAAATATATAGAGTTGGTTATCCGAATAAAATAAAATAAAATAAATAAATAAATGTTAGTAAACGATCTTGAACCTTATTCCCACAGCTTAAGCCTCAGCCTGGACCCGTTAGCGTCGCCCAACGCGATCAACTGCGAGGACACCTTCCACACGGCGTCCTGCAGCTCGCCCAAGCCCTTCCCTGAGACCTCTGACCCAGCAACGCCCACTACTGTTGATGGGTCGCTCAGTACGGAGGATACGCCAGCTCCGCAGTTCAGGATCGGACCCGCGCCCGTGCCTGATGATAGCGATGACATGTCCAGCACTGAAGACTACCATAAGGTAAGGAATTTGTTAGTGCGATCTTCAACCTTATTCCCCCAGTTTAAGCCGTAAGTGTCGCCGAAGTAATTCCCTGACCCCGCCCACTCGCCGGCAACGCCCACTACTGTTGATGGGTCGCTCAGTACGGAGGATACGCCCGCGCCGCAGTTCAGGATCGGACCCGCGCCCGTGCCTGATGACAGTGACGATATGTCCAGCACTGAAGACTATCATAAAGTAAGGCTTTTGTTAGTGCGCGATCTTCAACCTTACTCCCACAGCTTTAAGACTGAACTTGCTGGCGTCGCCTGCGAGGACACCTTCCACACGGCGTCCTGCAGCTCTCCCAAGCCCTTCCCCGAGACCTCTGACCCAGCAACGCCCACTACTGTTGATGGGTCGCTCAGTACGGAGGATACGCCCGCTCCGCAGTTCAGGATCCCGCGCCCGTGCCTGATGATAGCGACGACATGTCCAGCACTGAAGACTATCATAAGGTAAGGTTTCTTAGTGAGCGATCTTCAACCTTACTCCCCGAGCATAAGCCTCATTCTAGATTCGCCTCGCTGTTCACTACCGTTGATGGGTCCCTCAGTACAGAAGATACGCCGGCTCCGCAGTTTAGGATCGGATATGTCCAGCACTGAAGACTATCATAAGGTAAGCGATCTTGAACCTTACTCCCATAGCTTAAGACTAAGCCTGGACTCGCTGGAGTCACTCTAAACCTCTTCTGACCCCGCCCACAAGTCGGATACCCCACCACCGTTGATGGGTCGCTCAGTACGGAAGATACACCCGCGCCGCAGTTCAGGATCGGACCCGCGCCCGTGCCTGATGACAGCGATGACATGTCCAGCACTGAAGACTAACGTAAGGTGAGCGATTTTCAACCTTACTCCCCCAGCATAAGCCTCATTCTGGACTCGCCTCGCTGGCCATGCCTACTACGGGCGAGGGGTTGCTTAGTATGGAGGATACGCTGGCACCACAGTTCAGGATCGGACCCGCGCCCGTGCCTGATGATAGCGACGACATGTCAAGCACTGAAGACTACCATAAGGTAAGGCTTTTGTTAGTGCGCGATATTCAACCTTACTCCCACAGTTTAACCAGGCCTGTTCATCTCCGCGAGTTTACATCGAAAACAAAATACGCACGATGGCCCACCTACAGGATACTATTCGACAAGGCCTCACATACGAGCGAACATTGACTCACGCACGCGTATTCTTGTGTATGATGGAAGAAAATAAAGAAAATGGTGTACTAAATACTGTGCAGTATTTAACTGCCTAAATAATAATAAAAACACAGAATGTACTTTTTTATGTTGCCTCAAGACACTGAGAGGTAAATAAGTAGTTTATATTATTCATGATAATTCATGCTAAATCATGTATTTCCTCCGCCATTTTCCGCAGTTTGGCACCTCACGTCACATGATTTTACCGAAGTCAGCCCTATAACTTCGGCGCAGTGTCGATCACCGACGTTTGTCAACAAAATGGTGCTTTACTCTTGAGACAGGCTAAATTACACCATATTGTTAATGACATTGAGCATAATTTTTTTTAAATACCTTCGCGAAGTAAAACTTCTGTACGTAGTACTTATTATTATTCTGTGGTTTAACGCTAAACCTGGTCGCGCTAGAATCGCCCATGTAATTCCCCGACCCCGCCCACTCGCTGGCTACGCCCACTATTGCCGTGGGGTCGCTTAGTACGGAAGATGGACTCGCGCCCGTGCCTGATGATAGGGATGACTTTTCCAACACTGAAGATTAGCATAATAAAGTAAGGCGTCCGTTAGTGAGCAATCTTCAACCTTATTCCCCCAGCTTTAAGTCTCTATTCGCTGGCGTCGTCTGAGCCGTACCTAATCCCGCCCATTTGCCGGCCACGCCCACAACCGCCAAACTGTCGCTTAGAGGTCATCTCTCTTAAAAGATCTAAATAATAATGTTTGATAATAACTGGTGTATTTTGTTCACAGCCTAGAATAGTAGAGGGACAGTCGTCGAGCTCAGTAGAAAGATCACCGGAAGAAAGACAGCAGAAGGCCAAATACAGAAGAAGGATTACAGGTACCGAACACCTCCTATATTCTTTTGATTTAATTTGTTGCGGGTTCCAAGACAGTTATTCCTGACCCTGAGTCTACTTTATCACAAGTCAGGTTTTTTTGGAAAGTTGTGAGAAAAAGTTCTGGAATGGGGGCCATGTATTGGCAAGCGCAGCGTGAGATGTCCACCCACAAGGTGTTAGCAGGAAGGCCTTGGATGCAGGCTGCTATTAATCGGCCAATCTAGAAATTATTAAAGGTCTATGTTCAGCAGTGGATGTTCTGTGGTTGAAATGACGATGAGAAAGAGAATGGTAGAAGATGGAATTAGTCCCAATAAACTATTTGACATCATCAATAAATTGACGTACTTTTTAAAAGTGTTCAAACGAGACTCCCATAGATTTTGTTTAGCAAGTGACGTCACTATTTTGTCAACTCAAACTACTTATTTAGATGGCAATACGTAGACGCGAGGTCCAAATGCTGCATGATTGGTTATTTTTGACATGACATTGACAGATATGTAAAAATCCACCAATCACGCAGCTGTCAGACCCCACATCCACGTCCCGCCATCTAGTGGATCTTTCATGCGCGAAAACGTTTTGAAGACCAGAATGAAGTGTCTTTAAAAAAAATCTAATTTCGAATTATTGGGGAATGGTGTCAAATAGTCTTATTTGCTTCTGGGGACCCGTTTAGCAGTACTAACTTGTCCGCAGGTGATTCCCTGCGCGGGCGGCGCCAGGTGACCGAGGCCGAAGCCCTGCGCGCCATGCAGCGGCTGTGCGCTCGCATCGCCAGCCAGAAGCTGCTCGTCATCTCCTCGCTCGAGAACGACTGCTCCAAGGAGGAGCTCAACCGACAAATCGCGGTAAGCCTGCTCAGTACAATGTCTGCTTTCTGCATAACCCAGGGGTCGACTGGCTGAGAATGCTTAAATAGCATTAAGTCCACCTTTTGTACTATTTTATTGTGCAATAAAGTTTTATAATAATATAATGTCGTATGAATTCTGTGACCACGCAAACAACACCGAATCCATTTGTCGTTTCAATATAAGTGACGCTCTACAATGTGCACATTCACGTATGCGGATCTGTGGGGCTGAGTGTGAGTATACATAAAAAAATGTATGAAAATTTTAGTTTTTGAGCGTTTCCCGCTAGGGGCGCTGTACAATCCGTCATTAAATATGGAAACTGACACTAGGCCCTCTGGTTTGTTTTAGCTTTTAAAATTGTTTGTTCAAAATGAAATGTACAGTACAGTCGATAGCACATCAGACTATAGATTTTTTACAAAATGGCACCCCCAATTAGTGAGCTGCCACACTGGCGGATTACAAGCGTTTTCAAAGCGGAAACGTTGCACGTCCGCGACGTGTATGCTGCGTCGGTTCCCCTTTTAAAACGCTTGTAATCAGCCAGTGTGGCAAGGCCCTCACTTAGTCTTTTCCTGTTTCAAAGTACGTAACGCTCTTAACAACTTTTTCTCAGGTCCTCCAAGAGCTCCAGAAGAAATACGTGCGTCTGGAGATGGCTTTGCAGTATTCCTTCTTCGACAGCCAAAGCCAGCGGCGGCCGATGATGGTCACGCCCATCCAGGAGACACCTTCGCTGACGCTGTCCGAGAGCGACATGCATGTGGCCACCGAGGCCGGCGAGGAGCCCCGCGCCAAGTAAGCACCAGACCATGACCATGACCATGACCCGGCCAGTGGCCTCATTCGCGTATTTTCTTCTTCTTCTTTTTTGATGATGTTGGCAATACACGTCGAGGTCGACTTGATTTGTGCCATTTTCAAGTATTTATGTGATACGAGTTACAAAATGAGATCAAGTAATGATATAATGAAGGATGATAGATGATACCCCTTCCCACCCTTTGAGTCTCAGTAAAGTTGTGGTGCTTTACTGATACTATGGACGACTTGAGAGAACCCGAAGAATCACGATGCACTGTTTTGCTTCACTTGCCCACACTCATGCACGTTCACGAACACTCAATGGTTAATAATCCACCATTATTACACATTAATAGTCGCCTAAACACGAATTTGAGGAAATAAAACAAAACCGCTAACATGACGCTTCAGATTCCCGCCAAGAAGTCTTCACGTATTTTGACAGTCAAGATCTCGCTGACGTTCAGAAGTCGTCGCATTGAAAAATAATTCTAAATCCGTATTCATCATCAACAGCCCTTTTCAGTTCACTGCTGGACTATGAGCCTCCTTCCACTACAGTGGAGGGTCTTGCCATAATCCCCACGCTTGGCAGGCGGGTTGGAGATCGCAGTTTCAAAGATTGATGTTTTTCAGAGAGCGCTGCTGCCTGTAGTCCCTAGGTCGCCTCTTACGACACCCGTGGGAAGAGTAGGGGTACAAACGTATTCTACTCTGCCGTCACCACACGGCTTAAAACTATTCACAAGGGTCATTTTGATAGAACGATTACTCAAGAGGATCGCAACTCAGCGATTTGTTGTCATTGCAGTTTTGTTACGTCGTCCCATTGAAAAACAGTTCTAAATCCGTATTCACAAGGGGCATTTTCGATAGAACGATTACTCGATAGGATCGCAACTCAGTGTTTTTTGTCGTTGAAGTTTTGTTACGTGAAGAAGGCTACAGGAGACGCCCTCTTCACGCTGTCAAACGCCCACAAGTAGGCAAAAGTCTTTCGCAAGCGCAGCCCAAAAAAAAAAGGTTTGACACCTACAGAGTGACCCTGGCACCATCTACGAAAACCTTTGCGTTTGGGAGCACATTTTGTAAATAAAAACTCATAAAAAACGGTCATCGTTTACGTCATAGTTTTGTTCGTAACCTCGTTGCCACGTGAAACAATCAGGCGTATCACACGGCTGAATACGTACGTATGCTAAGTGGCTGGGCACAGTGAAAATTATAATGAGTTTGAGTGTTACTTTGGTATCAGTTAATGACAAGATTTTCTTGGCAATGTTAATAATATTATGAATCAGGCATAGGTGTATCATATCACTAAATAAGTGGCTAACAATGCACCAGCTTTTCATTTCTAACACAGCGTGGTAAACACCGGCGTAATGTTTTCAGCCGGCGGCAGAAACCGGCGTCGGACGACAGCGACTGCCCGCCGGACGCGCTTCCGGAGAACGGACACATTTACGACCCGCTGCTCAATAGGTTGGTGTTGGTAACCTAAGGAGGCAGTTGGCACAATTAACTTAAAACTTCACAACCTATCTTTTCTAAAAAAAATACCCCAAAAATTCAAGTTAGGTATTGAAACGTCAATTTCGGTCATTGGATCTTCATTTATAAGTATAGCTCGCGCAACAAAAGTTGAGGCCATCAACAGAAGCAAAGATTTGTATCTGTATATGCAGCCTGACAAATTATTTCTGTTTCGCTTGCGGACATTAGCTAGAGCGAGCTAGCTAGTGTATTCAATATTAATTTGAACTTAAATGTGTAATGTGATGTTTGTGCTCTGTATTCGAAAGTTGCATTTTAGTGACGTGTTCGCCTCAACTTTCGTTGCGCGACCTATACGATGCTTAATCCTATACTATCACAACACTTCATCTTAATCCAGCATTACTAATGGTTAAATTATTCCCAGTTCAATGTAAATACCAGCGGCGCCCGCGACTTCGTACGCATGGATCCCATTTTACCCCCTTAGGGGTGGAGTTTCGTAACATCTTTCTTAGCGGATGTCTACGTCATAACACCTGCATGCCAAATTTCAGCCCAATCCGTCCAGTGGTTTGGGCTGTGCGTTGATAGATCACTACGAGTATGTCATTCAGTCAGGCAGTCACCTTTGAGTTATATGTAGTTTCAGATCATTCAATACAAATACTGTTTCTGTCTCCAGATTAAAAGAACAAGAACTAGAGGGGTCCGACAACGTGTCTACATCAAACGACGAGCTTCCAGCCAGCGGCGACAGCGACGTGTGGGACCCCTTACGCCGGGGGTCCTCTACGGAATTACACCGGGGGTCCTCCACGGAACTGCACCCAAGACCCCGCACTGAAGACCCCCCATTACCGGTTAGTATTCAGGATTTTGAATTTATTTTGAGCCTTCAAGCTCGTCGAATATAGATATAGCCCGACCAGGAACATAAAAACCGTCGCCATGTTGCGGAAAACTAATGGTACTAATTTCTTTTAATGGCAACAGTAACTGAAAACTTCATTGACGTGTCACCTTGCGTGTCAGTCTATTGCTGTCAAAGTGTAAACAAACTTTATTTTAAATGCGCGTAATTGATTTGGTGAATTAAATTGCTAAAATCTTTTTAGTCGTGAAAGAAAAGTGGTTCACAATGTGTTAAAGTATTTTTTCGAAGAGAAATACTAAGGGTTCGGACAATATTTTCATTGAATAATTTTTCCGACAAGGGTGTCAAATTGACTGACATCGTATAGTACAGTCCACTATAAAAATTAGCTGTTGTTGGTTTCAACTACCTATTTTAAAGTTTTTTGTCACTTTCTAAGTGTTGAATTTTATGGAATTGGGAAAGAAGTACCGAGTTTTAAGCGTTCATGAGCAGACATTGCAGTTGAATGTTCAAGTGCTGAATTTGATTATTGATGAATAATAAAATAAATCCTACTAGCTCGATTGACGTTTTCATTTAATTTATTTAAACCAGGTTACCTATAATAATATTTTTTCGTTAATTTATGAAAATATCAAATTAGCCCGTAATCCTGAATCCTGATACATAAAGTTAGCCTATTAATTTAACACAGGTACGACTGTACTCAGTGTTGCACTATCAAATGCAATTGACGCGCCTCTATGCCAGGGTTTTTATGTTCCTGGTCAGGCTATACAATAGATAAAATAATCAATTGTTACGCGTCATATACGACTGCTTGGGGATTGATGGGCTAGCATGATTTGGCTTCTAAATTCAGAGCGTTCTAAGTTTGTGTTTCTTTTGTTTCAGGATCCAACGATACAAATTGGTCTCATGCATCCGGTGGATTTCAGTAAGTCTTTTTATTTGTATTTTTGCCCGTTACCTTGCCTTCTGTTTTATTTGAGTAGTATTTACTGTGCTAAAGCCTAAGATATGTTTTTGTGATCTGAATTTGTTGATCGATTTTCATTTTTGGATCTACTGCCGCTCTTGAAAAGATGTAAATATAATTCATAGCGTAATTTAAAATGATACAAAATAGCCTGATGGGACGACATTGCGTATCAAAGTTCTACGACTGTAACAACCGAAATAAAACTTGGTGTGCACGCACGCCGATTGCGTGCAGGGATTGTGCCTATTCGAATTCGCGCGCTCAAGAAATCCCGCTAGCTTTCAGGCTCTAGTGCAGGGGTTCCCTAACTTATTTGAGACGCGTCCTCTTACGACAGAGAAAAATAAATCCGCGTACCCCATCCTCCAGTCCAGATTATTTATTAGTCGTATCGAGCTGTCTGAAAAGTATTCTCTTTGGGAACCCCTGCTCTAGTGCAGCGGTTCCCGAATGGTGGTCCGCGGAACCCTGGGGTTCCGTGAAAAGGCCGCAAGGGTTCCGTAAAAAATATTATCCCACGTTTCGTGACCGACGTTGTTCGCTCGCACCGACTTGTTTACGCACTTGGGAGAAGCAGGGCGTGCGGGCGGAGTATTACGATGGTTCCGCTAGGAAAAGTATAATCAATTAGGGTTGGCAAAAAAAAAATTGGGAAACCCTGCTCTAGAGTGCCAGGGCCTTATTGAAGACTTCTCCCCAGGCGAGGTGATAAGCGTGGCGGGCTGGGTGACGCGCGGCGCGGGCGCGGGCACGCACCACGAGTACGAGGTGCGCGTCACGCTGCCCGACTGCCGCTGGCTGCTGCTGCGCCGCTACCGCCGCTTCCGCGACCTCTACCTGTGCGCGCGCCGCCTCTACGGGCCCAAGGTACGCAGGGGACACGCCACGAGGCACCGTACCGCAGGGGACACGGCACGAGGCGCGCGTCACGCTGCCCGACTGCCGCTGGCTGCTGCTGCGCCGCTACCGCCGCTTCCGCGACCTCTACCTGTGCGCGCGCCGCCTCTACGGGCCCAAGGTACGCAGGGGACACGCCACGAGGCACCGTACCGCAGGGGACACGGCACGAGGCGCGCGTCACGCTGCCCGACTGCCGCTGGCTGCTGCTGCGCCGCTACCGCCGCTTCCGCGACCTCTACCTGTGCGCGCGCCGCCTCTACGGGCCCAAGGTACGCAGGGGACACGCCACGAGGCACCGTACCGCAGGGGACACGGCACGAGGCGCGCGTCACGCTGCCCGACTGCCGCTGGCTGCTGCTGCGCCGCTACCGCCGCTTCCGCGACCTCTACCTGTGCGCGCGCCGCCTCTACGGGCCCAAGGTACGCAGGGGACACGCCACGGGATACCTTGCAGCGCAGGGGACACGGTACGAGGTACTGTGCACCGCAGCGGACACAGCATAAGGTACTGTGCACTGTAGTGGACACGGTACGGAGTACTGTCCACCAAAGGGGACTCGTTGTTGGATTGTCGTAGTACTAGACAAATTACGTCAGACAAGGGAACACCCGTATACATTCGAAGGAGATATAGGTTTTGCTAGTTCGTAAAAAGTATCTCCATTTCTTGTTTTTGTTTATACTTTAACCCCTGTGCCAGACTGTCCCTTGTCCCAAAATTGGACACGCCCACACGGCATCGCAATCATAATTATAATCCAAAGCCTGGTCCGTGAGCACGTAGAATTTTGTCCAATGACCCCAAGCTACCCATCCTTATTGCTCGCGCGTAATTATATTACTGTCGCGACTGTGCGACGGGCGCCCGCAGTGAGTGTGCGAGCGCGACAGCAACATAATTACGCGCGAGCGATAAAGATGGGTAGCTTGGGGTCATTGGACAAAATTCTACGTGCTCACGGACCAGGCTTTAGACTAATCCCATGTGACCTTGTAGGTGGCGTCGATCCCGTTCCCGGCGCGGCAGCTGTGGTCGTCGGAGGCGGTGGCGCGCGCGCGGCGGCCGCAGCTGGAGCAGTTCCTGCGCCGCTTGCTCGGCGCCTGCGCGGCCGACGCGCGCTGCGTGCTGCACCGCGCGCCGCTCACCAAGGACTCGCTGCTCGCTTTCTCGCCCTTCTTCCGCAAGGTACGGCCACAGAATAATAATAAGTACTACGTACAGAAGTTTTACTACGCGAAGGTATTTAAAAAAATGTATGCTCAATGTCATTAACAATATGGTGTAATTTAGCCTGTCTCAAGAGTCAAGCACCATTTTGTTGACAAACGTCAGTGATCGGCACTGCGCCGAAGCTATAGGGCTGACTTCGGTAAAATGATGTGACGTGAGGTGCCAAACTGCGGAAAATGGCGGAGGAAATACATGATTTAGCATGAATTATCATGAATAATATTAACTACTTATTTACCTCTCAGTGTCTTGAAGCAACTTAAAAAAGTACATTCTGTGTTTTTATTATTATTTAGGCAGTTAAATACTGCACAGTATTTAGTACAGTAGTAGTAGAGTACAGTAGGAGTAGTAGTAGATTATGGCAAAACCCTCCACTATAGTGGAGGAGGCTCATAGTCCAGCAGTGGACTGTAAAGGGCTGTTGATGATGATGATGATTTAGTACACCATTTTCTTTATTTTCTTCCATCATACACAAGAATACGCGTGCGTGAGTCAATGTTCGCTCGTATGTGAGGCCTTGTCGAATAGTATCCTGTAGGTGGGCCATCGTGCGTGTTTTGTTTTCGATGTAAACTCGCGGATATGAACAGGCAAGGTACAGCCGGAGCGGTCCCTGCGCCGCGTGCACCGCGCGCCGCTCACCAAGGACTCGCTGCTCGCGTTCTCGCCCTTCTTCCGCAAGGTTCGTTCGTTCCTTCGTTTCAGCCGAAAGACGTTCGAAATTAAAAAAAAAGTCTACTTACTTATTTATTGCCATTAAGGCGGAACAAAGTTCGCCGGGTCAGCTAGTTAATAAATATTCGTTTCAGCCAAATGACGTCCACTGCTGGACAAAGGCCTCCCCCAAGGTTTTCCACAATGAACGGTCCTGCGCCGCTCGCATCCAGGTACCTCCCGCGACCTTCACCAGATCATCGGTCCACCTAGTGGGAGGCCTGCCCACGCTACGTCTTCCAGCTCGTGGTCGCCACTCAAGAACTTTCCTGCCCCAGCGGCCATCAGCTCTTCGAGCTATGTGCCCCGCCCACTGCCACTTGATTTTAGCGATTCTGCGGGCTATGTCAGTCACTCTGGTTCTCCTGCGGATCTCCTCATTTCTGATTCGATCACGCAGGGAAACTCCGAGCACAGCACGCTCCATCGCTCTTTGGGTGACCTTGAGCCTTCTTATGAGGCCCATAGTAAGCTTCCGCAAGGTACGGCCACAGAATAATAATAAGTACTACCAGGCCTGTTCATCTCCGCGAGTTTACATCGAAAACAAAACACGCACGATCACCTACAGGATACTATTCGACAAGGCCTCACATACGAGCGAACATTGACTCACGCACGCGTATTCTTGTGTATGATGGAAGAAAATAAAGAAAATGGTGTACTAAATACTGTGCAGTATTTAACTGCCTAAATAATAACAAAAACTAGTGTCCGACCGAATTTTCGGTTTCGGTTTCGTTTTCGGTTGAGTTTCGGCAAAAACACGAGTTTCGGTTTAGTTTCGTTTTCGGCGGCAAACTTGCCGAAACTACGACCGAAACCGAATGTGCATTCGGGAGTTTCCGCGCTGTTATCGGTTATGTTCGGCGCGTTGAATGAGTGAATGAATCCGATCAGAGCCAATGTCGTGATTCGCTCGCTTGTTTGTTTGCTGTTAGTTGTTTTGTTGTGGTGGCGAGTTTTGAATTTGGTAAGCTTTATCTCGTTTTATGTCGTTACTAGCTTTCCGCCCGCGGCTTCGCGCGCGTGTACCCCTGAACCCTATGTTTTTCCAAAAATTTAGCCTATGTTACTCGTGGATAATGTACCTTTCGAATGGTGAAATAATTTATAAAAACGGTCCAGTAGTTTTTGAGCCTATTCATTACAACCAAACAAACAAACAAACAAAGTTTTCCTCTTTATAATATTAGTGTAGATTACATAAGAGCGGGTAGTAAACATCAAAAAAAAATTCAATATGACTGATAAAAGTATAATCAAGTTTAATCTAACCTATAATTTTTTTTTAGGTTCGCAAATGCTATACGTAAACAAACATTAGTTACGTAGTTAGTAATGACTATAGTGCATTTCATGGTGATAATATTATGGATTCAGAGTTTCAAAGTTCATTTTAGTATTTATCACCAAGGTATCCAAGTGGCAAGTACAGTAGATACTAACTTACGTACTAGCAATTTTGTTTTGAGAAATTATTAAGGTAAAAGACCCACCCGACCATGGGACGGGTTTTTAAATGTCCTGAATATTGCGAGTAATTAAAAAAAATCTAGACTATAAATCCTTATTTTTCTTTTTTAATACATAATTTGATACCTTTTAGAGTAAAAGGGCGCTTTATAAGTTCAATTTTAATGCAATTTAAAGAGAAAACAATAAAGACTGACTGATTATAATAACGTTTTCTTTATTTTTCCCTCAAAATATGAGCCTTGTAAGGAAGTTTCGGTTTCGGTTTCGGCCGAAATAGACACCGTTGCCGAAATTCGTTTTCGGTTTCGGTTTCGGTCGTAAAACTAGTTTCGGTCGGACACTAACAAAAACACAGAATATACTTTTTTATGTTGCCTCAAGACACTGAGAGGTAAGTAAGTAGTTAATATTATTCATGATAATTCATGCTAAATCATGTATTTCCTCCGCTATTTTCCTCACGTCACATCATTTTACCGAAGTCAGCCCTATAGCTTCGGCGCAGTGCCGATCACTGACGTTTGTCAATAAAATGGTGCTTGACTCTTGAGACAGGCTAAATTACACCATATTGATAATGACATTGAGCATACATTTTTTAAATACCTTCGCGAAGCAAAACTTCTGTACGTAGTACTTATTTATACACACTGCTTCGTAAGCACTTCTCCAAAAAATATGCGCTCTCCGTTCTTCTTTTTTGCGAAATTTTTATTTCTAACTAGCGGCCGCCCGCGGCATCGTACGAGTGGATCCCGTTTTACTCCCTTAGGAGTTGAATTTGACAAATCTTGCCGTTAAAACCATCCATAGACTTCAAAGAACATTAAAAAAAATGAATTGGTAAAATTGGTGCAGGCGTTGTTGAGTTATGCGCTTACCAACACATTTTGCGATTCATTTTTATATGATTCAAACTCCGAACATAGCGCGCTCCAAAGGCTCAAGCCTTTAATTAGGCCTATAAACTTGCCATAATTCCAATGTGTAAGGATGAGAGTTCGGGAGCATAAAGTAAACAATTGACATAAATAGGAATCACCGTTAATTTATACACATACAAGTATTATTACTTGCTATAGTCTGGTCTGTGAGCACGTAGAATTTTGTTCAATCAAAATTAAAAAAAAAATCAAAATCAAAAATATTTATTCAGTTTAGACCACAAGTGGCACTTATGAACGTCAATAGAAAATAATAAAAAAAGAAAAGGTAGCCCTTATGGGGCACTTTACATGTCTCCTTATCTTTCGGGCCCTACCAGCGCTTCGAGACAAACAATGACCCCAAGCTACCCATCCTTATCGCTCGCGCGTAATTATGTTGCTATCGCGCTCGCACACTCACTGGGTGCCAGTCGCACAGTCGCGACAGCAATATAATTACGCGCGAGCGATAAGGATAGGTAGCTAGGGGTCATTGGACAAAATTCTACGTGCTCACGGACCGGGTTTTACACACATTATAACTGATATTGTTGTGGACAGGGCGTTTTCGAGAGCGGCAAGTGCGGCACGGGATGATGCCGCGCGGAGCTCGCCGCCGCCGCCGCGCACTTACTGGCCGCGCTGCTGGCCGCCGCGCGCGCGCTCGCCCGCTGCCTGGCGCTGCTGCTGCTGCTGCTGTATCTGCACGCGCGGCGCCGGTAGCTGTGTGTCGGCGCTGGTGGGCAACGGTTGCTGCTGGTGGAAGCTAGTGGTAGGTGTGGTTGCTGCTGGTGACTAGTGGAAGCTAGTGGTATGTGTGGTTGCTGCTGGTGACTAGTGGAAGCTAGTGGTTGCTGCTGGTGACTAGTGGAAGCTAGTGGTAGGTGTGGTTGCTACTGGTGACCAATGAAAGCTAGTGGTAGCCTGCTGCTCTACCTGCACGCACGGCGCCGGTAGCTGTGTGTCGGCGCTCGTGGACGCTGGTTACCAGTGGTAGGTGTGGTTGCTGCTGGTGACCAATGGAAGCTAGTGGTAGCCTGCTGCTCTACCTGCACGCACGGCGCCGGTAGCTGTGTGTCGGCGCTCGTGGACGCTGGTTACCAGTGGTAGGTGTGGTTGCTGCTGGTGACCAATGGAAGCTAGTGGTAGCCTGCTGCTCTACCTGCACGCACGGCGCCGGTAGCTGTGTGTCGGCGCTCGTGGACGCTGGTTACTAGTGGTGGGTGTGGTTGCTAATAGTTGCTGCTGGTGACCAATGGAAGCTAGCGGTTGCTGCTGGTGACTAGTGGAAAGTAGTGGATACGACTGGTAGCCAGTGGTATCCAATAGTAGTCACAGGAAGCCAATGGTGGCCACAGGCGGCCAGTGGTAGCGACTGGAAGCTAATCGTGGCCACTGGAAGCCAACGGTGGCCTCTGGAAGCCAATGGTGGCCACTGGAAGCCAATGGTAGCCAACGGAAGCCACCAATAGTAACGAATGGTAGCCACTGGTGACCAATGGAAGCTAGTGGTAAAACCATTAGAAAGCCAATGGTAGCTATCGGTAACCAACAGTAACCACTGGCAAGCCAATGGTACCCAACGGTAGCCACTGGTGACCAATGAAAGCCAATACTAGCCACTGGAAGCTACTACTAGCTACTGGTAGCCTGTAGTAACCGTTGTCAGCCACTGGTAGCCATCAGTAGCCACTGGCAGCAGCTAGGCGCCGCGCGGCCCTTGGGTGCGATACTTAGGTAACAGGGAATGTGACAGGCACCGCGTCCTGCGCTGAACTTTTACCCTGTGAAAACTATAGAGAAGCGACACCTGCTGGAAATATGACGAGGCACAATTGTTACTTGACCTTAGACGCCAGCGTCGACGTTTGTTTACCATCGCTTGGTCTTCTGCTGCTGCTGATTTATTTCGACGCAGTCAAAGCGACAGTAGTATGCTATAGTCTGGTCTGTGAGCACGTAGAATTTTGTCCAATGACCCCAAGCTACCATCTTTATCGCCCTCGCGTAATTATATTGCTATTGCGCTCGCACACTCACTGCGGGTGCCAGTCGCACAGTCGCGACAGCAATATAATTTCGCGCGAGCGATAAAGATAGGTAGCTAGGGGTCATTGAACAAAATTCTACGTGCTCACAGACCGGGCTTTATTACGCCGTGGAAACTATATTTTACGAAGCATCAACTGGGAAGGCCGATAGTGAAGACGGCCGGTTTCGAAATAGTTCGCGTTACTACCTTGTTGTAACTTTCTGTTGACCGCATGCGTATGGTCACGAGGAGTGGGTTTCAGGATTGTTCTTCAAACCCATCCTCCGATATTTTGCGTTCTCGCTTACTATACTGACGGACGTTTTGATTCACTTGACATTTTACACAATTGACATACCTTTTTACATTTGAATTATTCAGTTTTTTTTGTTTATGACATGTTTTTTGAAATGCTGGCATGAATCAATGTGTTAAACAGAGCGATATTATTGGATATTTGTGTCACATTTCTACAGAATAAAACTAAAGTTAAGACGGTGAATCGAAACTGTCCTCAAAGGCTAATACAGACGCGCTGCGTCACGGGCACTCGGACAAGGAAACTTAGCAATATTTCGTTTTATTTTACTTTAAGCTAGCGTTTCGTAAGCAATATACACGTCATCTGTAAACATTCCGGCTGGTTGTTATTTTTTGCCACTTATTTTTAATATTGCGGATGTATACATGCACGACTGACGGCACATCGAGGCAAATATACACTATGTACTTGCAATAAGAATGATATTACAACTAAAATGTATAATCTGATGTGTTTTACACCCGTGGGTGTTATCCCACATGCCCCAAATATCTCGTGGTAACATTGTATACGAAGTAAGTTTTAGTTTTTTATGGTTTCCGAGTAGTTGTAGTGTTCTGTCTGTATATGATGTGCAATTCGTAGGTTTAATTGAGTCTTCCTTGTGGCGCTCTTCGCTACTTCTTTCACTGCGCGTGAGTGAATTGTTCTGCTGCCGTATCGTAAAACGGTACAACTAACATTTTTATAAATCCTAAGGCTGGGTTGCACCAACTTACTTTAACAGTGACAAACGTCAAAAATATTTTTCGGTCAAAGGACATTGGGAACTTTAATATGAGAAAATGCCCCACGGCGGACAAAGATGAAACGTATTTTATTTCAAAGCTTTATACTTGTAGGTATATTCACTTAAAGCGCTATGTTGTGAGATATGGGAATTCTGAGATATGACGAGTCTAAGTTGAAAATATATTTGTCTAAAATGATTTGATATTTTTACATGTTATGTTGTTTGGCATTGCAGAGTAACCAATAAAAGTCAATAAAATAATATAAATAAATAAAAAATATAAATAAATTAATATAAATAAATAAAATATTATAAATACATACTTAAATTAATATTAGACAACATCTCATATATTACTCCAACCCAAAATAAGTAGCTAAGGCATTTGTGTTATGGAAATCGGGAACGACGAACCACAACACACCCAAACCAGAGACAATGTGAAAAGATCGTTTTCTATATTATCCCGGTCGGGAATCGAACCCGGGACCTCAGGATTGGCCCGGCACACCTTGAAAACCGGTGTGTGCGCCTCTCCGCTACGGAGGTCGTCAAAAATGTTACCTAAATGTAAAATAAAATAAAATATTAAAACTTCATTTTCTCAATATTCCCATATAAGAGAGAAAAAATAATGCACGGAAATTCATTGGATATTAGTATGTATCATCTGTGATAGGTTTCGTTTGTGTCCGCTACTTTTCGAAAAGTGGGGCAAAAAGTTCCCAATGTCATTTAGGTTGTGCAACTCAGCCTAAGTGTTGAATTTGTAACGTCAAAGTAAATGGTTCCCTAAGCTAGAAATACACCGTAAGAATGTTATGGAAACATATATTAAAAAAAAGTCTCGAAAAACCTTGGTTTTACAAATTATTTAGTTGTTCCCTTTTACGTTAAGGCGGCAATGTAGTCGACGCTTTGTCGAGTTAGTTTCGTGCAATCAGTTTTCAGTGAACACAGTGTCTTGTCATATCCTTTGACGCGAAACGTAATCAGAGGCCGTAGCGTGAACAAGACTGCTTCAGAAAACAAAAAATATTAAATTGTAAGTATGTACTTACAGTAAAATAACGTGTCTTATGATTTCAATACGATTACACAATAATGTTAGCCGTATTGTTAACATTCTTCAAACTATCAAATGATTTTGTTGTGAATTCACAAACAATCCAAATAATACATTTTAAAGCATCTAACAGGTTTATCCTTGTCTCTGCCCATACTGCGGCCTCTGTATACAGACTACAGCGTCTATGGATCGAAGTTATTGTATGTAACATGTAGTAAGCACCCAAAGTTTGAGTGTATATTTTTCACGTGGCGAGCTCCGATGATCGAACCCTCCGGGGTATTTAGTATAAGTAGGTAGTAAATAAAAGTAGTTAATCAGTTTTAAAACCCTTGTCACACTGGCAGCGGAGCGAACGCGTAAGAGGCGCGATATCGAGCTCATTTTTAACTAAGGCCTAACATTTGCGATCGTAATATTCAATATGAAGCTTTGATTACTCGACTGAACAGGCCTAATATGTTTCGAAGATGATCAACATTTGTAGATACCTCAACGCGTTCGCTACGCTCTGTGACATAGGATATTCGAGATACCGGGAGAGATATTTAGGTTACCCTAAAAAGGGTGCAGTGTTCGATTTGAACCGCGGGGGCAATCACATAGTGGTGCTCAATATACATAATGTGCCCTCCCGGAACGAACGCCCTTGTAGCTCAGACAGGGAAGCGAATGAGTGGCGATCCCAAACTACTTCATGTGTAGCTTCGTGTTCGCTTCGCTGCCTGTGTAGTGAGGGCTTTTTACTTGAACACGTATTTTGACATAAACGTTGTTAAGTCTGAATGTATAGAATAATAAATATCAATCATTATCGTCTGCTATAATTGTTATAGTATAAAAACTGCTTAATCAATAAATATGTAATAATTTAGATAAAAGTACAAAACTTGAATTTTACGAGATAACCTATTAAATCCTTGTTGATTTCAAATTCTTATTAAACGTGTCTTAACACTCGAAGTAATAAAATTAAATGTAATTGTATTTAATACCATCTCCCGGTACTCTGACGTCAAGATGGTGGTTAATAAATGTAAGATACCATGTGATACATCGCACACTATCACCTGCATATAGTTAGCGCCGCGATCTCAGTCTGCGACTTTGGTACTAACAGACATGGAGTTACAACAGTTTTCTTTGGCGCTACCATAAACGCTAAAATAAGTAAAAGAAAATTAGTTTAATTTAATTAAGTTTAATTAAATTTAATAAATTCTAGCGGCTAGACTCTAGCGCTTAAATTCTGGCATGACAATACATAGGAAATGACAATTAAATTAATTTTAATCATAATCATTATTTGTATTAGTATCAAGGTAGCGCCAATGTTAATGTTAGTAACCACATGTTTTAGCTTATTTAAATAGTATCACCTTAAACAAACGGTTTACTTGTACGACTATAAATATTTAATATTGAGGCGCTTTTGCATTCAAACTATTTTCTATAATAATTCTATAATAATTAATAAATAGTATATGAAATTTTTACACATTACCAAACCTTATTTACTAGAAACAAGCTATATTCTGTAGCCCATATCGTATTTTAAATGATCAGAAACTTCTTAGTGTGATCTTCAGACTTATCTACCCAAAGATTTATCATATACATAATATATCAAACATAAATATATGTACTTTCAAAATCAAATATACGAACTTAAGATCAAATAGGAGCATGTTTTGAAGTGGAATTTGTAGAATGTAATGAATTTGACATATATTATGAAATGCCTTTATGAAATTGTTTCAAATGTTAACATTACTATATCCTGCTCCTGAAGCAATATATTTTTGTATGACCTAATCCAAACGTGGCTTAATTCATTATAAGCCTTTTAATTATTGTAAATCATGTTTAGGCTCACTTGCAGCATCTAAAACTAGCTTGGTCTAGCTCTGGGTCATAAGATCATTGTTTAATTGGAGGTAATCTTTGAATCCAGATTTAGACTTGTATTTTGAGTTGCCGATCAAAACTCAAACTCAAGAATGGATTCAAGCCTCGAAGTGATTGTCCTGGATCTATTCTTGAGTTCTGAACTAGTTCTTGTGTGTGGAAGTGAGTCCTAAAGTTTCGTTTAAACATAAAAGACAGCTGTAGATGATACTCCTTTTTGTATATATGGTTGTGATTTCATTTGCACTGTTTCATTTCTATTATTGGCACAAATGCTAACTAACAATTATTTAGTGTTTATTTTTTTAACTCTGATTATATTTTAAGCGGCGACATCAAAATTTTGACATTACAGGGACTCTCCATCGTGAGATCGATTAGATTTAATTTTGAACATTTATTGACTTTTGTGCTAGATTGTATTAATTTATGTTTTATGTTTCGAATGGATATTATTAGGTTTAATCCACTATTATTGGGTTTAAGTAGGACTACTTTTTCGCAACTATAATTTAGTACACTCAGCGTCAAATATATGATGACACCCAAAGTCACCAACAAGTTGATAACACAACCTTATTCCGATTGTAACAAAGACGTGTTGCGAATTTTTGGCTACTTTGGGTGTCCGAACTATTTGGCGCTGACTGTACAGGCGACGGCACATCAAGATGCGGCCTCCTATGTAATCGTGATAGGTGCTATTTTCCAATGAAATGTAGTCTGATCATCTGATGTGCTGTTGACTAATACATATTGTGCTACAGCCACACACAGGACACATTCGTTGTCTGTCAATATTAAAACTTATATTGAACACAATTTAATATCAAAAATATAATCATTGGCTTTGTTTTGACCTTAGAAATTAAGCTTATTGCTCAAGTTAGAACTTTAACTAAATCAACGCGTAATGTAATTGCTATATGCGACAACATGACAGCCTTACACTTGCATAATATTAATATGTGTGGCAGTAGCATATATGAATGTGCTAATATTCGGTGTGTAATATAATCTCGCGACGCTACGCTCCTGTGAGCTTTCCGAGGCAAAGCCCTCAGCATGCGTACCGCGTCGCGGCTCGCGTCTTGTGCCGGCCTAAGCTTGCGGGCTTTAGCGTTTCATACACAACTATTGATGCCCTTCAAGAATAATACACAAATATTTTGTAAGAGACTCCTTTAACGACAGTTATTTTTGCACTTTTCTTCTTTTCGCCGCGCAGTCCTTAGTCGCAGGACCTTAGATATGCTTTATATTTTATGGCACCCGTTAATCTTACTGGATTTTAATAAAATGATAGTTTTGTTGTTCAATGTCTCTCTATGCAACGGACTGTAAGGCTAGGCGCAGACCACCGACTTAGTTGGCCGATAGTTGGGTCGGGCTGTTAATCAGTATGGATATGTATGAAAGTGCGCACATTACACCGATGGATTCTTAATACAAATTAGAACCGGTCCCAACTATCGGCTGACTAAAAGTTGGAGGTCTGCGCCTTGGCTAAATCTCTTTCAAAAGTAATATTACTTGATGGGCACCTGGTTTTGCTTTCTAATAATATTTGTCTAAGGAAATAATGTTATAATTCTCATCCTATGTTAGTATCTTTAGAAGTCATCTCACCTAAACTTCTATCATAAAAATATTTCTTTCTTTCAATAGTTTCTGTTACAAATATTATTGAGAATGCGTTTCGAGTATTGAAACTCAAGTAAGCGTTAGTCTGTAAGCAATTTATTAAGCGTATCTTCGATATTCGTTTACATGTTTTCATCACGTCAGTAAATCCGAGAGAGCTATCTGAAAGTTGATATCACAAATGACTATAAATTATATTTTCAATCCTATTATTGAGAAACAATATTAATTCTTTGATTAATAGGTGAACATAATTCATAATAAGAAATTTAATTCCGTGCAGAAATTCGACAATAAGCACCAAACCAAATAACCAGGAGAACGCGAATTACTAATAAGTCTTATAAAGAAAAACAACAAAAAAATAACGGCTTTAACCCAGTAGTGAACATGGCCTTGTAGATAGTTTCAAATTAATGAATTACTAGTTAGTTATTATTGAATCTTTCATTGTATTTTATTAATTGCTCCAATACAGGTGTTGGACTAATTATTTTAAGTGTCGAGTAAAAGATATCGGACATAATAAGTGCTCTATATCAAAAACATTTTAATGGAAAAGCGGTTATATTATTTTTTAGTACAAATTTATTATTATTATCTCTGAAGTCTGATTTTTCGTTATTTATTAGGCACAAACAAATAGCAATCTCTTTCGAAAACCTTATTTACATAATCCACATGAATTTTGTTTGTGGCCTTTATTTTCTTGAATATATTTTTAAATTACTATATACATATAGTATCTACTTTATCTTTTCTATATAGAAATGATATCTATGTATAGTTTTGTACATATAAAATATCTATTTTTCAAACGCAAACTGTAGGTATTTAAACACCAAATCATTATTAAGTATAAGTAATGAATAAATTAAAATGTAAATGATTATTTATTTTATTGTAATAGAAACGGAGAATTTATTGTAGTTTAAAATGTCCATTAAACGTAATGACGCCACATCACATGGCCTATACAAATAACTGCCCTCGTAGAATGTTATAAAAGATTATCAGCACTGCAGTGTTATCTATCATACTTATACAGATTCTACTTATGGAATGTTTTGCACTTTTGAGTATTCACAAATTGCGGATGCAATTCCGTTGTTTTAAAAGATGAAGAATGCAATATTATTTGTTGAAATATGTCATTAAAATAATTTGTGCTCATAACTGCAGCGCTGATTGCCTATACTTTTTCAAGTTACTGTAGGTGTATCAATTTTTATTTGTTTGTTAGACATAGCATAAACTCTGAAATGATGACATTGCTAGTTTAAACGATTCATAATGTGATTAATGTAATTCTTGTTATTCGAAGTATCGACGATTATTAGTGGAGGATTACTCTATCATACATATTTAAATAGAAATTACTATTTTTCAAAATTATTGTATACAGAATAATGTACTCTATCCGACTTATAATATTGTTATGCAGATTTAGTGCCAGCACTAAAGTCAATCGGTCATTATTTTATCCCATTGAAGGAAACTAATAACGATATTCTTTACTGCTGGCCATTTTTGCATGTAGAGATGTATAACTTTTACAATAATTCCTGTTAAGACATGATAATATTTAATGTCAATTCATTATTACAAAATCTATCTTAGATATCTATTTTGTCCGCGCTAGGATAGAGTAACCCTGTACCTTTATCAATATCTATATGGTAAATTGTTAAAAATGAATATTTTTAATGTAGCAAAGTGACGATTATCGTATTCGAGAGTTAATAAGATGTTAACCAGCATAATGTAACAAAGTAATAGTTTTGTTAAGGGAAACAATAATAAATGCAAGTGTTTTACAACAGTAGAGTTTTATTCTTACTATCTAGATGTATAAGTTCCAGATTAGACACAATTTTTAATAGTAATTTCCCATAAATTATACTGATATTATTAGTTTTGGTTTAGTAAATAAGTTGCCTGTTCATAGTTACTTTTTAAATATCACCTCAGGATGTCATCCAGATTAAAATTTGCATAGCATGAAAACTCATTTGCCAAATTGTTTCTGTGGTGTGGTTGAAAATTGCACAACTTTAAATCCAATAGTTTTTCTACGTTTTCCTTCATGATGGCACCTGTGCACACAACAATCTTCTCTTTGGATAGTAATTTGATGGTTTCCGAAGTTTTTGTTATGCATTCCTCTGAAAGGAACGGTGGGTCTGCCACAACTAAGTCGTAACTGTTTAAAACGTCTGGTGGTAACTTGTCTGGTGTGTTGTAGTCGTAGAAAATAAAGTCTGGTGCGTGAACTTCAAACCTTCTGTCGTATTCAAGCAGGGACACTGAAACATGAGAAATTAGAGATAAATTGTATGTTTGTAAAACTAACAGCCTGACAAGTATAATGTCTGCATGCATAGAATCTTGAATGCTGAAACTGACAAATCTCTACATACAAAGACATTATTATTTAATATATGTTCACAGTAAAGAAACTCACCTGTAGCTCTACTTCCAATTTGTCTCTTTACTGGCACAAAGAGGGTAGGACAAGAAATTAATGCCACCCTCCCTCCGTCTGATATTACTCGGTCTATAACCTTTACCAGGGCCTGAACTGTAGCCTCGTCATACCAAAACTGGCTTAGTTGCTGTGAAAGAAAAGATTATAGAGTTTAGTATTGATCAAACATTTTTTCTTTCTTTCTTTCTTTCTAAAACAAGATTATTAATGTCTGTCGCAACTGTCTCACTGTTACACCTCTATGAAATATTATTGAGTACACCTCTATGAGGGGTTACCTACGCCATATCGAATGACAAATGATCGAAAATCAAAATATCGAATACGTTTCATCGAACGATCAAAATATCGAATGCTCAAAATATCGAACGTTCAGAATATCGAACGATCAAAATATCGAAAGTCGATATAGACGTTTTTATTAAATTTCATCTTGCATCATTTCTTCAAGTTTATAAATTTTGAGAATAATGTCCGTGGGGACCTATTATAAGCCTAGCCTGTCCCAAAAAGGAAAGTTCAGAAATGATGCGTGATGAAATTTAATAAAAACGTCTATATCGACTTTCGATATTTTGATCGTTCGATATTTTGAGCATTCGATATTTTGATCGTTCGATGAAACGTATTCGATATTTTGATTTTCGATCATTGTCATTCGATATGGCGTAGGTAACCCCTCTATGAGTACATGTTTATATTTTTAATACTAATAGTGTTAGAAAAGTGTTATTACTTTTTTCCTAAACAAAATGTAATTTGAATAATAAAATAAGTAAGTAAAGCCAACCCAATTTTCATCAAATAACACATTCTCTTTTAGTTTGTCATCTGCCTCAAGTTTGGTAAATATTTCCTGCCGCTTCTGCTGCTCCGCATAGAACTCTTGAAGAGCTGCAAATGTATCGGCCGAGAGAGTCGGGACATCATCGTCATCCTCCATGTTACCTGAAAACAATACAAATAAATAATGACCTAAATGTAGGTATATTATCTTGAGAATTTATGATATTGATTAGGGGCCTGAATTTTTGACTGGAAAGTTAATAAGCTAATATTTAATGGAAAAGATAAGCTAAGATAAGATGTAATCTTACTGTGCAGATTTAAATAATTCTAGCTTTAATTTAATTCATGCTTCGTGAGTGCTGCAAATTAGTTTCTTTCGCAATTCATCCGTATAATAATATGCTTCCGCGAATGTGGAAGTAAACAACCGGCGCTGGTCCAGTTAGCGGCGCATTCATTTATGCAGGCAGTGCGTAATTAACACAGAACATTAGATTTTTATTATCTCATCGGTCTAAATTACAAAGATTACGCAAAAAGATCGCGGACGGCTGTTTTGAACCGCTGACAGTTAAAAATAGGTTAGTTTGCCTCCGTCTTTCGAGCACGCCAGTGGCCGCGAAAAATTACAAGCAAAGAAATGCGCTTACCGTGCATTCGATCGGGAGATGGTGACGAAAATGTGTGACGGCTGTTGGGTAAGATATTTATTTTCCTGTTTCTCTTATAATTTTAGTCTGGTTCACGATAAAATATGCAAAATATTGCAAAAATGCTTTCGCTTTTGTTTGACAAGTGAATTTTTGACGATAAAAATGACAGATGGCTGCATATTGACAGTATTTGACAGTGACAGATTTTTTTTAAAGATTTTTCACGGCTCTGGCTACAAGCTCTTTTAAGCCAATCGCAAAGGTAGAATGTTGCCACACCAAAAAAAAATATTCTTCTATTGAAACTAATAAAATATTTATTCCTTTTCAGAAAATTAAAGTATGGAATCAGAAAACCTTACAGTATTATTGCTACACAAGCACCCCAAATATCTGAAGCCATGTTGCGATCTAATAAACGACGAATGGCCGCGCAGCGAGACAGTCAGGATGATGTCCCTTCAAGCTTCGTGCGACAATCTGCCTACTAGCTTGATCCTGGTCAACGATGATAAACAACTCCTAGGGCACCTTAAACTCACACCCATACCGGCCATACCCGAAGGCTGTTTTGTAGAAACTGTAGTTATAAGTAGAGCCTTACGTGGAAAGAAACTAGGTAGTTTTCTCATGAGAAAAGCTGAAGAATATTGTAAGCAAGTTCTCAAGTTAGAGAAAGTTTATCTATCTACGAAGGGCCAAGAGAATTTCTACGCCAAGTTGGGGTATGCGATCTGCAAACCTGTCTCTATTTATGGCAGTGGTTTGCCGAATAGATATAAGCCACAGCCACCTCTATGTAAGGTCGAGAATCCTGTGCCACGGGTAGTTAGTAATTCACCGAGCGGAGTGCCACCTCCCCCACCCCCACCGATGCCAGACAATAATGTAAATAATAATTCTATTAATACAATCAAAAGTAGCAAGACTTATATGTTTAAATACATTTAATTGTTTTATGTAATCATTACGTTTATTAAATATTTTGACAAATTCTTTCTGCGTATTATTGATACTTAAATTTTCAGCTAGGATGGAATTTTACGGGTATCTTTATAACAATACCAATTGGTAGTACGATACAATAATCAACTAGACAGATGAGAACAATAATTAAGTAAATTGAATAACAAATAACTAAAACTTGGCTTTTTCTATGTACTCCATGGCCCGTTGCCGAATGTCTTCCACTTTTTCTTGATCTCCTATTTTTTCTTCCACCTCAATCCACTTCTTGAACAGTATTTTCATTTTTCGTGCTGGCAACTTCTGCGATGTCACACGCTCCATGACTTGCCTGTTGATAAAAATTACTATTTTAGTAGGTTTGTAGCAATTTTTTGCATTGTTTGATGTGGCTGTGTCTTGGTCGCGTTGACAGGATAAGATCGGAATGTCAAAAAAGCATTTATCTTTGTGAAATTAAGATTATAAAACATGATTAAAAGCACATTTACCGTAGTCTTACAAATATTTTTGTGCATTAAATTTAAATTAAAACTAGCACTCACCTGACGTGGTCGACGTCGCCAGCCTTGAGCAGCATATCAACATACACCGAGCACACATCGACTCGCTGCGGGTACACCGCTAGCACTTGCTCGAACAGCGCTTCCGCACGCTCGCGCTCGCCTGAATCACGTTCAAGTAGCGCGAACTGGACTAGCACTGATATGTCTGGAATGAACATTAATTTTTATTACCTGTAGATACTCATATTTTTTATTTATTTTGAAAGAAAGAAAGAAAGAAACATTTATTGCCATGGACATCAGGTAAAAAAAAAAGCAAATAAGACAGCAGAAAAGCAGATAAGAATTTTGGTAATTAATTAAGAATAATGTCTGGCAACACCGAGGTTGCACCTGTTTGCTCTATGACATTTTCAATATTAACTTTATCTTTTTTCCTTCATTATCTTCAAAAGATACAACAAGTGATTCCGAAATCACTTGGCTCCGGAGTTTATTGTTGGTAACTTCGCGCCGTTAATCGATCGGAATTAAGGCCCGGTTTCCACCAAGGCAGAGTGGAGCAAAGAGATGTTTTGAATAACCATGAAATCTCCGCTCTGCTCCGCTTTAGTGGACCTGTCACGAATGTTATTTTGTATAGGCACCATGATCATTTAGTCTCCATAGCAGGAGCACACCGCTCTCTAATGTAGCCTAAGCGCAGACCACCGACTTTTAGTTGGCCGATAATTGGGTCCGATTCTAATTTGTATGAAGAATCAGCCGATACCAAATCGGTGTAATGTGCGCACGTTCATACATCTCCATACCTCGTCGGCCGTTTGGTGTAGTGGTTCGAAACGGACTAATATTCCGGAGGTTGCGGGTTCGATTCCCGTACAGTACATGGGTCAACATTTATGTGCAAGAACATATTTGTTTGTATTGGACTGGGTGTTTTCTATGTATAATATGTATGTATTTACAAAAAAAAAAAGTATTTAAGTATGTTTATATCCGTTGTCTAGTACCCATAGTACAAGCTTTGCTTAGGTTGGGACTAGAAGCGCAGTGTAAAATGTCCAAGGATATTTATTTATTTATACCTACTGATTAACAGCCCGACTCAACTATCGGCCAGCTAAAAGTTGGTGGTCTGCGCCTAGGCTTAAACAGTAAATACCAGTGGGTCTAGACAAAGTGCAAATTACAATCGCAAACCAGTCGAAAAGTGGTCGAAAAGCCCCTTTTTTGTATGGAGTTTTGACGGATTCGATTTTCGATTCGATCAAAAAGTGCGTTTTGTCTAGGGGGGCAGTACTTACGTTCCTTCTTCTCCAGCACACTAATGGCTTTCTGCATGACCTGTCTAGCTTTTTCCACGAGCCCCAGCTTAAAGCAGGCCGCTCCACACAGCGTGTACGTCCCAGGATCTCTCTTATACTTCCGCAGCATCAGGTCCACGAGAGAGCACAGCTCCTGCTGCTTGCTGGTCTCCACGTAGATGTCCAGGACCTTGGAGTGCACTTGGAACGGGTCGTTCATTTGAACTGCTTCTTGAAGGATGTTTTGCAGGGATTCCTGGGAAAATTGGCTTAGTTTAAGCGTGGATTTTATTTCTGTTTTAAACCCCTATTCGAAAACATTAGTATGAGGTATCACAGTACGCGTGAACGCACAGGGTCACAACAGACAATACTTGAGCCGAGTGACACACGAACCAATCATAGAGCTCTATTCTGTGCGTTGGACTTCGCATAGCGTTGCTGCTTCACTTAAGCAAGTATCGTTTGTGAATACGGGTGTAAGTCCCTGATAATACTACTACAAATTTTGGTTTTACACGTCGCGGAAAGAGATATCGGACAGAAAAAATGCGGTTCATTGATTCAGCAACCTGTATTTCGTTAGACATGACGCCAAATATGGAAAATAGATGCAAAAATGTGATTTTGTGATGAAGAAAATGGTAAAATCAATTTTCTTACTAATAAAAGGTATACGGGTGTGGAAAACTAGTTTGAATAACAATCATCATCATCATCATTTCAGCCATAGGACGTCCACTGCTGAACATAAGCCTCCCCCTTGAATGACAATGTCTAGTATTTTATACCGTAGTAGTAGAATTTTATACCCCTTGGTTATATAGAGGTGAAAACTATAGGCTTTGATCAACTACACTGTATCTATAGATGCAATTGGTGTTGTCGGCCGTTTGGTGTAGTGGTTCAGAGCGGACTACTATGCCGAGAGGTCCCGGGTTCGATTCCCGGCCGGGCAGAAATTGAAATGATGAATTTTAATTTCTGTGACGGGTCTGGGTGTTACTATGTATAATATGTATGTATTAAAAAAAAAAGTATATAAGTAGTATATCCGTTAAGCTAGCCTAGCAACTGTAACACAAGCATTAAGTTGCTTACTTTGGGGCTGGCTGGCGCTGTGTGAAATTGTCCAAAGATTTATTATTAACTAGCTGACCCGGCGAACTTTGTTTCGCCTTAATGGCAATAAATAAGCAGACTTTTTTTTTAATTTCGTACGGGATAAAAAGTATCCTATGTTCTTCTCCTGGCTCTAAACTACCTCCCTGACAATTTTCAGCTAAATCGGTTCAGCCGTTCTTGAGTTATAAGTGGAGTAACTAACACGACTTTCTTTTATATATATAGATTTATGTATTTGTAAGCTGTTTGTTTTCTGATGATGATGATGATGATATTTTAATTTAATTTTATTTTGTTTTATCAAAATAAAATTAAATTAAAATATCAAGGGTGTAAGTCTATCGAGAACTGCTTGAGGTATCGTACCTTGGTCCCGAAGCGCGCTTCTGTGTTGACGAGCGCGAGCCACACGTTGAGGCGCTCGTGCTCCTCGCGGAAGCTGATGGCTCCCAGCGCGCGCCGCCCCACCGCGCGGGCCTTTTCAATCTCTGTCGCCTGCGCACATCAAATAAACAATACGTCACTGGGTAACTTCACCATCGTCATTTAGGGCCCTCGACTAAAGCCGGGTCCAGATATGATCATTTTACCGATCCGATCACCACATATTTTATGTGGACGTGACGGGTTATTACCCGTCCACATGTAATCATGATACGCGTCGACGATACGGACACGGTGATCGGATCGAGCAAATGATACATGTCCGGACCCGCCTTAAGGCGATTAGTGTCCTCAATCCGCGCTAAATGGGCATTTTGTAAAGCCTACTCCTCTTTTACTGCTGGACAGAAATAGTTGAAAAAAATGTATGTTATACAACAGTTCAAGGACTACATTTGTGACGTTTGAATTTTCGCTACGTGTCTTTGTTTTGGATTAAAAAAATAAATACGGGACATCGATTTTTTACTTAAATTCCCTACTCCTCCAAAACGGCTATGTTAATTTAAAAGATTTTTGCACGAATAGATTGGGAATTCTTTAATCTTTAAATGACACGTTGCGTTTTTCAATCGAACATTACTTTCATTCATAAATTTTACTTTTGATAAATTCCGAACGTTTTGCTGTTGAGGGGGCCTTCGCGGGGTGCGGGCGGCAGTCGGCCGCTGGCCTTCAGACGGGGAGGTTGTGTCACTCGCTACAAACTGACATTAGCGATCAAAATGAATTTTTTCTTTGGCTAAGTTGCACTACATCATAAATTGCAAGCTAAATAAAAGCTTGTAATAAAGTCGGGTTTGTTCAAATTTCGAGAACGACTGAACCGACAAAAGCATTAGAAAATTTACAAAAAATAAAATAAAATTTTATCCCGCACAAAATGTTCATGGATTTTGTTATTTTTATTAAATACCTTTACGCCTGAGTTAAATGACACCGACATCAAGGTTCATCAATTTAAGTTTAAAATAATAGGCAGTAATGTATGAAGAAAGAGCTTCTATTCTGTATCTACCTATGCCCGTGTATTTTTGATCGGTGTCAAATCGGAGTTTTTGGTGCGGGGTGCGCGGGTGTTACTCGCGGCGTGAAGGTCAAACGCCCAAGGTCATTGAGGACTCTAATCGCCTTAACGCGCGTTAGTCGTATTTGCAACATACAACAGAAGTGATGCCAACGCGCTACTAACGCGCTACAGCAGCGCGACTGCATCGCTACAAAAAGTCGCCGTGGGTGAGAGCCCTTAGGGCTATATTGCCTATATTTCACCGGGACACCATGGCGGCGCAACCAGTCGCCGCTACCAACAAAATGTATACAGCTCTATAGAGAGTTACTCACCTGGTGTCCGTTTGGTTGCGCAAAGCTGTATATATTTTGTTGGTAGCGGCGACTGGTTGCGCCGCCATGGTGTCCCGGTGAAATATAGCCCTTAAAGTTGCCACACACGGGCTTCACGCTACAGCTACCAAATGCCGCGACCGACGTTATTAAATACATTTTCGTGTAGCTGTGTTCTGTGGCGGCGTTAACGCTGGTGGCCGCTTAGTTTCCAGCAGAATCACATCCTTCTCCAATTTACCAGAGGCAAACTGTCTTTACCTATATTCTTCCATGCTATGGAAGGTCATGTCGTTGTCGCCAGTAGTCTATCGTCTCTACTACTGGCGACAACTTGGGTTCGCTAATAGGTGGTTCTCAAGCCAATCATTGGAGTTCTTCAGCTCTAACATATCTTGTGTGACATTATCCTATATTTTGTCAGACACCTGCAGATAGAGGACAATCAAGCAATTCACAGCAGGCTACGATTTGAATTAGTCAACATCTATTAAACTGGTCGTTGCGAGTAGGTTCTTCAGCTTCAGGAGTTTCCTGTGGGATATTATAGCTACGTTTCATCACAAACTGCAGATGAAAAGCCATGTACACAATCTAACTGGCTGCAATTTCCCTTTCAAACTGATTGTTTGAGTGGATTCTTCAACTGCAGCTTCAGCTCCGGTTACCTGTGGGACATTATAACTACATTTTGTCACGCACCTGCAGATGGAAGGCCATATACGAGATCCACAGCTGGCTGCAGTCAGGACTGGCCAACAACACTCGCTCGAAGTGGTCGCTAGTCGCTGGTGTCTTTGCCATACTTGCAGACGCTTGATACAATTCGGATCCTTTAACCTTCCATATTGCTGTTGTCGTTAAGAGTAAGGCTGGAACTGGATAATTTCAGCGCGATTCTTCCGCTCTAGCAGTTACCTGTGGGACATTATAACTACAATTTGTCACGCACCTGCAGATGGAAGGCCATATACGCGATCCACAGCTGGCTGCAGTCAGGACTGGCCAGTCCAGGCTCGAACTGGTCGCAAGATCGCGGCTGTTGTTCGCTGGTGACTTTGCCATATTTGCAGACGCTTGCTACAATTCGGATCCTTTAACCTTCCATATTGCTGTGGTTGTTAAGAGTAAGGCTGGAACTAGATATTTTCAGCGCGATTCTTCAGCTCTAGCAGTTACCTATGGGGCAATATAACTAGGTTTTCTCACGCACCTGTAGGTGGAAGGCCATATAAGCGATCCACAGCTGGCTGCAGTCAGGGCTGGCCAACAACGCTCGCTCGAACTGGTCGCAAGATCGTGGCTTTTGGTCGCTGATGACTGCCATACTTGCAGACGCTTGCTACAATTCGGATCCTTTAACTTTCCATATTGCTGTGGTCGTTAAGAGTAAGGCTGGAACTGTATATTTTCAACGCGATTCTTCGGCTCTAGCAGCTACCTGTGGGACATTATAACTACAATTTGTCACGCACCTGTAAATGGAAGGCCATATACGCGATCCACAGCTGGCTGCAGTCAGGACTGGTCAGTAACGCTCGCTCGAACTGGTCGCAAGATCGCGGCTGTTGTTCGCTGGTGACTTTGCCATATTTGCAGACGCTTGCTAAAATTCGGATCCTTTAACCTTCCATATTGCTGTGGTCGTTAAGAGTAAGGCTGGAACTGTATATTTCAGCGCGATTCTTCGGCTCTAGCAGTTACCTGTAGGACATTATAACTACATTTTGTCACGCACCTGTAGGTGGAAGGCCATATACGCGATCCAAAGCTGGCTGCAGTCAGGACTGGCCAGTCCAGGCTCGAACTGGTCGCAAGATCGCGGCTGTTGTTCGCTGGTGACTTTGCCATACTTGCAGACGCTTGCTACAATTCGGATTCTTTAACTTTCCATATTGCTGTGGTTGTTAAGAGTAAGGCCGGAACTAAATATTTTCAGCGCAATTCTTCAGCTCTAGCAGTTACCTGTGGGACATTATAACTACATTTTGTCACGCACCTGTAAATGGAAGGCCATATACGCGATCCAAAGCTGGCTGCAGTCAGGACTGGTCAGTAACGCTCGCTCGAACTGGTCGCAAGATCGCGGCTGTTGGTCGCTGGTGACTTTGCCATTATGAGGGCTATCGTTTTAGCGCTCACCAGTTAGCGCCACTGTAGAGTAAGGTCCTGTCACTTGCTAGTAGCGAAGACAGTGGCACCAACTGGTGAGCGCTAAAGTGGTAGGAGGACTATCGCATTTGCACTTATCAAGATGGCGCCACTGTAGAGTAAGGTCCTGTCAATCGCCAGGGGTGCCAACTGTTAAGTATAAAAACGATAGCCCTCATTGCAGACGCTTGCTACAATTCGGAACCTTTAACTTTCCATATTGCTGTGGTCGTTATCGTTAAGAGTAAAGCTGGAACTGGATAATTTCAGCGCGATTCTTCCGCTCTAGCAGTTACCTATGGGACAATATAACTAGGTTTTCTCACGCACCTGTAAATGGAAGGCCATATACGCGATCCACAGCTGGCTGCAGTCAGGGCTGGCCAACAACGCTCGCTCGAATTGGTCGCTAGACCTCGGCTGCTGGTCGCTGGTGGCGGCTCTCTGTTCTAACGCTCGAATACGCTCTTCCTCTTCGCGTAACTTCGCCAGCTTCTCTGCTGCGCTGCGCTTCTTACGCTTCTTTTTGGGCTGCTCTGTTTCCTGGAATATTAGTTTAATGGTTTATAGGTGGATGGCTTTGCAGGCAGTTAGATGGTAAATGACCTAATGTGACATTTAAAATGCTCAAAATGCATTACATTTTGATGACTAGGCGACATGACATGGCATTAAGATTACATGAGTATACAAATGTACACATTTGATTGAGAAATAATGTGACAGAAAACAGCAAGTAATTACCTTCTCATTAAATAATATTAAGTATTGTAAGTGTATTGTCGATGATACTGAATAAACATTTTTTCTTTCTTTCTTTCAAGATTTGAACAATGTTAAGCCATGCAAAGCCGGCAAGTGGCAAATAGTGATGCATAAAATGACACTTACGTCTTCCTCGCTGCTGCTGGATTCCTCTTGAACATTCTTCGTCAAGTTCTCAGTGTCCGCCGACCAGAAATCTTTAGCACTCGGCACTTCTAATGCTGGCTCTAGACTCTCCACTATCTTGATGTCTTTCTTCCTTTTCTTTGCTTCTTTTGTCTCTTTCTGTTCTTTTACAGGTGGTTCTATGGTCGTGTCTTCTTCTTTGACTTCTGCTTCCTTCTTTTTTTTCTTATCCAATTTGTTTTGGCGGTTTTCTTCTTCGTCGAACCCTAATTCTTTTAGTTTCTCTTGCGCCTTCTTTAAAGCTTCTAATAATTTAGCTATTCTCTCTTGAACGACTAACTTTTCTGTGTGCATCGCTGTGTGGTACCTTTTGTTCTTTGCGCTGAGCCCTTTCGTTTCTATTTTGACGATTTTCTGATCGATCCTGTCTATTCTTTTCATTCTGGCGTTAACGTTCTTTGTTAGAGACACGATCCTCTTTTTGCACTTTTTGATATCGTCACAGTCGGACAAATCTATCAGGTGCTTGTCTTCTGGCGTCAACACTTGATCGCTGTCTTCGTGAAAATCTGTTTCTATCGCGTCACTCTCTTCTGATTTTAATTCTTGTTCTTTCTTTTTGTTCTTCTTTTTTGAGCGTTTGTCTTCTGCTTCGCTGTTGTCAGAGTCTTCTGCAGGTTCCGGTTTACTTTTCTCTTTGCTTTTTTTAGACTTTTTCTTGGTCTTAGCGACCATGTCATGTTTGTCGTCATCTGCTTCTGAATCAGCCCGTTTTTTCTTTTGTTTCTTTTTATCCTTTACGTCTGTTTCTTCATCGTTACATTTTGCTTTCTTATTAGGCACTTCATCACCAGACTTTTGCTTGCGTTTTTCTGCTTTTTCATTTTTAGGCTGAAAATAAGTTTTAGAATTATTATTGTGAGATAACGAAACAAAAATTATGGAAAAAATAATAAGGAAATAAACATAGCTAAACTCTTACGAAAATATACACGGGCTTAAAAAATACATCATTAATTTTACGAGGTTTTGGTCTACTTACACGAGGTGTAAATGGGACTACAGTAAAGCTACCAGTCATTTTTTTGTTTTCGGCGTCCACCTTCAAAATTGTGCATGTCACCTGAAAGTAAATAATATTATGATTAGTATTTTAAGCTTAATATTCTGAGTAACACAGTTGTATTGTAAGACCGAGAAGCTACATAAAAAAATACTAAATGAAGCTAGTAAATATGACCCCTAGCCTTCGTTGAATCAGCTGTAACTGTAAGACTTAGAATTTGATTTGATGAAGTTGTCTTGGAATTACAAGTTAATGGTGTCAAATACCCAATTAACATAATGAAACCAGTAAATAACTAGACTGTTGAGTCAGATGTAACTGTGGGCTGAGTGTGAGTTTACATCAAACCGCGCTCACTAGTGAAAATTTTAGTTTTTGAACGTTTCCCGCAACTACAATCCGTCATGCATTTAATGTCATTTTTTGATGCGCTCACTAGTGAGCGCGTTTAATGAAAAGTCACACTGGGCCCTCTGTGATGTATGATTTAATCTCATCCCCAAGTGGAAGACCTAAAATGTTGTATTTAAGAGAAATTGCGTTGGATTTCACTGTGGTATGTCGTGACTTACAATTTGCCCCAGGTGGATTAATTTTGTGTACTTTTACAGAAATTGTGTTTTTTTTTTTATGTGTCAGGAGGCAAACGAGCAGACAGATCACCTGATGGTAAGTGATTACCGTCGCCCATAGACACCCGCAGACCCAGGGGCGTTACAGGTGCGTTGCCGGCCTTTAAGGTGAAGATACGCTCTCCTCTTGAAAGCTTGCAGGTCGTATCCGTCCGGAAACACCGCAGACGACAGTCCATCCATTCCACAGTTTGGTTGTACGGGGCAGGAAGTTTCGTTAGATTTAGCTGGGGTGCTTTGTGTAGTTGAATTAGATTTAGTTTTGGTGTGGACTTACAATTTGTCCGAGGTGGAAGGCGTGCGCGAGCGTTTCCAGCGGTTCCCGCGAGACGTGCGCGCGCGGCACCAGCGCCGTCACGTTGTCGAAGAACGACACCAGCAGGTACTCGCGGACCAGCTGAAACCACCGCCATTTACAATTTACAACTACTTATTTAATTAATGATTAAACGAACTTAAAAAGTGAAGTTCTATCATAATTATGCGAGGGCTTTGTCCGAAGAGATTAGAAATAAGAACTGTAGCCGCCAGCGACCAGCGTAGTATCACGTACGCTGCCATCACCGTACGTGATACTACATAGTTCTTATTTCTAATCTCGAGGACAAAGCACGAGCATATTATGTATTGTTTGTTTGGTAATTCTCTGGTAATTTTCTTTGAATGAGCCAATTTATTTTTATAAATTTTCAACTTTTGGATAAACCATCGAATGTATCTGTAGCGTGTGTTAAAACCTTTGCTCGGCATGCACGGTCGTCGATTTTAACAACTAGACCACCAAGGTAGACGATACACTGATTTTATTTTATTTATTTAGGACAACCAACAAGACAGAAAGAAGTACAAATAGATAACAACATAGTTTCTGCGAAGATCATTTGCTTATCTTGTAAAAAACAGGAGGTTTTTCTATCACTTGACCAGTTAAATAAAATTGTTTATTTGTTTACGAAAATATTATTTTGTAATGTCTTTCCTAAACAAACTATATTATCAAACTAAATTACCAAACCTACCCTAATAAAGCCAGTGTACGCCTTCCCGACCTCCGCTTCCTCGTAGCTCTTCAGTACCACCAGCTCCTCATCCAGCAGCGAAGGCTTCACGGTCAGCAGCAGGCCTTTCTTGGGGCGGTCGACGGTGAGCACCCGGGCCCTTATGTGCTGGCCGACCTTGAACTTCTTGGGAAGTTTCGACGTGCTGGCCTTCTTTGGGTCGATGAAAAGACCAGCGTCGGAGTAATGCGTTTGTGGTATGTAACCTGAGGAAATAGGTTGAGTATATTCACTCATAACTCGTACAAATTCTACATTTATGAAATTGTAGTCAATAATGGATAGTGACTACCCTCACCGGCTCTGAATCAGCTGAAATATATCAGTAAGTAAAAATGAAATAACCTTCTATTCGATATGGGTAATTCTAGAACCTTTACGCCAAGAAAAAACCATAACCCCATACTCTGAAATTGTAACTATTAGAAATAGAGAATTTTCATTTGACTTTTTGATAGTGGTCTCTCATACAAACAGTTTTCTCCCAGAATCACCGCTTTTTATACCTTTTATATTTCAAAAGCAACAATTTAAAAATGAATCTCCAACGATAAATTCATATAATATTTCATTCAACAGTTCACATCACTCAAAAGTGAGCCTCACGACAACCAGCATAATAGTAGTCGGCAATGGTCTTGACTGTGGCGTCCACGAAGTCTCCAACTTCTAACTGGTCCAGGGTGGCTACTCCGAAAAACAATTCAAAGTTTCGAATGTTGCCATCCCTCTCACACAGCGAGATGGCAGCATGAGCGACGATGACAGATAGACTCGAAACTAAACAGCGTTTCGGAGTAGCCCCCTAGGTTTACAGTTCACAATAACATCACTCACCCGTTAGCCTCCCAACGTCCACCAGCATATGATTGTCAGCAATGGTCTTGATTGTGCCGTCGACAAAGTCTCCAACGTCCAACTGGTCCAGCGTGAAGTATTTCTCAGCCAGAAGAGCCGGCTGGTCGGTGACTAAATACGTGTAGTCCGACAGGCTGTAGGCTAACACGCGGACTCGGTGGAGGCTGCCTGGAAGACACATAAAAAGCTATGTGACAACCCACAGTTCAGCCTATATAGGCACTTGTCTCATCTCTGACGTCATCGTCGTCATGTAGTTAAATAAAGTCATCTGCTGGACAAAGGCTTCCCTCAAGGATTTTTACAACGATCCAGATGCTACTCCCGACCTTGCAGGCACCTTACACAACTCCCCGTGTCACACACGCAACTCCCCGTGTCACACACGACTCCCCGTGTCACACACAACTCCCCGTCTCACACACTCACCGACGGGGTAGGACTTGGCGAGCACCTGCTCATCAGCCAGGTCCTCGTCCACCTGCACGTGGCGCAGCGCCATGCTGCCCGCGCGCCCGCCGCCCAGCTTGAAGTGCAACGAGCGGCCCAGGATNATACTTTTTCATGCCATAAAGTTCATATAACGTATTTCGACTTTTGTATATTCCCTTGGTAGCCCAGTCACTAAACTTTGATTTGGTATTTGGTTTTAATGGCTTTACCGTAAAAACTTTGTCATGTTCGGTTTTAATACATTCGAAAAGGTTATTGTAAAGAGCATCTGGGTCTCCCTGCACATACGGGACTAAATGCAATTTATTTTCAAGATTATTTTTAAAACGTTCTAGACGACTGATGGTTACAGGTCTACATACGGCATTTTTTTTACTTTTATTATTCAAATTATTACAAATAAATTCTACTTTAATACCACAGTGATCTGACGTAAGATTGTGTATGACAGCTTTATTGTCAGGGACACAGCTAGAGAAAATATTATCTAGACACGATATTATTGAGTGGTGGAACCCCAACGCGGCGTTGTATAAAGGAATTTCAATACTAATTTGTTATGTATGTTATACAGGAATAATGTGTAGTATAGAATAGTGATCGTGGGGCTGCGTTGAATGAGCAATGGGGAGGCATGTCGAGGATTCGTTGAACCCCGGGCCCCATGCTCCATGCCCGGTCAAAATAAGGTGCGTGTACACAATACGACTTTCAGTTTACACGGCAAGATTGTCGAGAATAAAAACACACAGAAGTGACTCATAAAATTGGTTATAAACAGCTCTACATTACGGCTTTGAGCATGAGGTTAATTTGGAACATCGTTACATTAATCGTGGAAATATGCCATTTCTCACTACGTTTGCCAAAAAGGGATGTTCTCGTGGCATTGTTTTTTTTTTAATAATAAACAATATGTCAACTTACGAAAAAAGATTTGGGAGGAAAATAGGTAATTATGAGAGTTAAAACTGGAGCTCACTTCCAAACTTCCATTTCGGTTCTTGTTAGACTGAAGAATCAAACTTACAAGCTGAAATAATTCTGGTAATGATCTACAGGTCGCGCCAAACAATTTAAACATTGAACAAACGAGTCTAAACATCGTAACCTTTCACAATCATTTGAACTGTGCGAATGCTTCCCAACAAAACTAATCAATACCCACTACTAAATGGCAGCATATCCAATCAGGCATATTAAGTCCCTAATGTCACCTTTGTAGCTAAAGTTGGTCGTACGCCGGTCGCCGAGTGATCGTGTCGCCGCCGCCGGGTGACCGGTCCTTGCCCGCTCTGAATATTTACCACTTGCCTTTAATATTAATACCTTCTTAAAATACTCCGGGAGACAATCAAACATAATGAAATGTAGATGGGCCCGGCGTTTGACCTGTTCGCCATGCGTCGCCGCTTAGGGTGCACAAATTATCTCCCACTATGAATTTTTAATGCTCCTATTTTAAAACGCGAGATTAGATGAGCGTGGGGAGATTTAAGGCTCTGATCAAATGGGGGATATTTAAAAAATCTGATAATCACGCCAATATTAGATCATTTAAGGAAAAAATAATGGCAGTTTTCACGGAAACAATCCTGTTTTCGAGGAATTTAAGTAGGCTGATTGTAATTGGTAATATTATCGTTTATCATACTACAGTTCATGACTATTAATTTTGCAAAACATAAAATTTAATGAAAACAAAAGGATTTTGACCTCCCCGGCTCGCTCATACACATGAATTTACTACGACATAATTGTATACTACGACTGACCCGTACATTTTTTGCTTATCCAAATTTGACGGTAATGTATTCAACCCACACTTTGATAAGTTGATAAAGCATTATGAATAAGACATGTTGGAAACATATTTTCATGAATTGCAAAGTACGCATAGGAATAGATTCTTTAAATAATAATTAAGTACCCGCAATTATGCGGCTACTTAGCAAAATGCGTCAAACGCCGCGGTCAAAGATTTCTAATTTGCAAGCCAAGTCCTTTGCATTGAAATGTTTCACCTCTGTCTAATTTAAATGAGCATTTTAAACTCATTTTAACATTTAACATACAAAAAACAATTTGGGCAGTATGATTTTTCTTTGGTTATTTTATTTTTAGGTCTATCATGTTTGTTTTTTCTTTCGACTCCTCAAACTTACCATAGGCGTTATCATGACTTAGTCGAATAGTTAGTTATTTGGTAGCATTTAATCAATCTATTTTGTTTGGTCTAATCAAATAACTTCGTCACTTTAGTTTATTTCTACAACCAACAATAGCCATAACAATGTTAAATCGTGCAACATTCATCAATATGGTCAACGATCTGAATTCGTCAGCGAAAATGTAGAGAACAAACTTCTAGAATAAGCTTAATTGTAATTAATGAATGCTGTAATATATCACTTGAATAACACTGCCTCATCACGATCATTGGTGTTAACGAGTGTTATTGTAGAGTGGGCTGATTGAAACGAGTCTACGTACGCTGGCTCCTGCTACTGCGACGTCTGATTGGGACAAATCGATGATATCCGTCTCTTTTTTCCTTTCAGCATTGCAGCATGAATGAGAGAGATGAAGTCTGTTGAATGCAAACCGTTTTGTGTAATAACGCCGGTTTTGCGCCGCTTATTGCCCGCATCCGGCCGCCTACGCAGATTCATCCGCAGAGCACACTGAACGTGTGGGAGTTATATCTTTTGTATTGAAGCCAATGAAACAAACGCGGTCTCAATATCACTTTGTTGTTGTTGTTTTTTTGTCATGGTTTTTGCCTGTTCAATGAGATCACAATCCTTTGAAAAACATGTATTTGTTTTTTTCGAAGGACTACGTTTAAAAATTTATAACAGTCACATCGGAGTATTTAAAACATCTATTTTTAAACAACAAAGTGTTTTAATTGTGAATTTCTAATTTCGTAGAACAAAAGGGTCGCCTGACTCTGACTCCTCGAAAAGTTAAAAGACATTTGTAAAAAATCTTAAGTTTACGACGAAAAAATCTTAAGTAAAAGACCATTGCTCGAGAACGTTCTGAACTGACACGAAAATGAAACTTAAACAAGAATTTCTAAGCTGAGAGTACCTAGTTAAAAAGCAAACGAGAGCATTCTTAAAAATATTTAAAGGTCCTAATTTCAAATCTATCTATAAAGATACACGCTTTCAAATTATTAACCGATTTCAAAAAAGACGGTTGTTTACTATTTCTTAATCTCAATACAAGTTCATTTAATCTCTTCTATTTTGCATGGGAGTGAGAATTTTGAAATGTAATGTAAAAACTCTATCTCTAGCTCTATCTACAGAACCTACTACACAGTATAAAAAATTTCGTACATAGATTCTAAAAGTAAATATACTTACCTATTATTCCAAATGAACAAAAGCTATATTTTATGTAAATATCTAGGTCCTAGACTCCTAGTACATATTAATAAGTTACTCAAGATTGATAAATTGTTCAACCCAGGTAAAGTTAAGGTGAGTCTAATATTAAATTGAATTACGATAAACGTATGTCGATCTCTGTTTCTGTGGATTTGATTCCGTAATGCACCGTTAATGATGCCGATAATGATGTCTCGCCTAGCGCTTATCATCGTATGATATTTCTTATCATCCATGTTTTGACTCCATGCAATGTCCAAGTGGAAGAAAGAAATGTATTTTTTACATCCGATATTTATTACTTTGGAAATGCTGCTCTACTTGATAATTAAGAGGGATCAATAGACAAACCCCTTCAAATTTTTTTAATGCAAAACAAGACCGTCGACCTGATGTTAAGTGAGATGCTATCTAGGATTGTACAAATCTGCCCTGTAAGTGCTTATTCACTATCACCTTGAAAAAGTCCGGATTAGGTATAGTCGGGAAAGACAGCAGCAGACAACGAATTTTCACACAAAAACTCTGCCCTATCTTTTAGGTATTTTGCGATTATTAATACCAATGACTGTTTATTTGCGGCAAAAAAGTAACGAAAGACACAACCTCTTAACCTCTGCCTATTTCAGCACATTACGGAAAGTTTTCCTTTTTTCATTTAGGAAAAACACTAAAACTAAAGTTACTTTAGGTAAGTATTTGACTGCCTGTCAATGATGATAAATATTAATGTAAATGAAAATTTCCAAAATAATATTTACTTAAGTATTTTTATGAAAAAATAAGTGATACATTATGCATTATATATGAATCATTATTACTAAAAGTATTAATCAGATTCCTGAAACGCAAGTATGCGCTGAACGTTATACTCCAGCACGCGCCAACACCGTGTTTCGTCCACGTCACTTATGTAGAGATGACAGCACATCCAGCTGTCAAACATCTTAAGTCGTTGTAATAGGTCCCATTTTGCAACAAAAATGTATAGTCCAATTTGATGTTGACACTACAAAAGCTGGGCTGTCACACCCAATCACAACTCAACCTAAGTTTATAGATGACCCACGCTGAACTGTCCCGCCAAACTCAATGACAGGGGGGCGCTACCATCGTTCAACTATATGGTTTCCAACATGGCAAAAATCTGAACCAGCGATCCGGTATTGACGGTGGCGCCCCACTGTCAATGTCATCGACAGGACAGTCCAGTATTTTGGAACTATAACCCCAATTGGTTAGCAGCCATATATCTTCACATGACCGCCGCGGTCATTCCGCGTGTTAGCGTGTTCTCGAATAAATTACGATCTATTTTTGAACACGAGGCAATAAAACTGAATGAACCAATTCAGTGTAATTAATATGATAGAAATGAAATTATAAATGTAGTAGCACAGAATAATAATATTAGTATGTAATAGACGGCAGCAGCATTGTGGAACTAAGCTGTATTAATGTTATAGCCCCCATTAAACGATACGACTATGACCTCAACAGCGTCTGGAGTTTTTATAACTTTTTATTAATTATTAATGGAATCATGCTTTAAAAACTTCATTTGATTAGTCGGATGATAAATGGCATTAACAGACTGGTTATCTTTATATCTGGTTTAAACTACTTCACGAATATCTTTCTAACCGTGTGATTTATATTCGAAACTTAATCATACGATAGGATCTCACTCTCA